GAGCACCGCATAGCATCTGCTGCTTTGTCGTTTCGAGATTTACAGACGAGAGCGGAGGGCTGGCACCAGGGAAGTCACGTGATTCACGGGAGGCCTGAGCTGATCTCGATAGAGAGATGGAGATTAGCACGGTTTGCTAGGTACGGCGCAAAAGAAGTCCAACATGCGTTTACATACATACGAGGGGATCCAGGGTTGGGGCGGTCACACGGAAGCCGATCTACATAGAAGGGTATTAAGGTTTGGGGGGATCGGGCATTGGATGTGGGGGTGTGATTCACGTCCACCGCAGCTTATGACAGAGGTTCTCAAGTTCATTATTGTAGCCGCCCCCCTCCCACTCCCCACCCCTCGATCACCAAGATGACACCGCGGGTAACGGGGATAATTTTGCTGAGCGGCGACTCTTATTAGGAAGCAGCTTCAGGACGCCACGGTGGCTAGGAGATATTGACTACCTCGCCTGGTATACAGGAGGTCGTGGGTTCGATCTCGACTCTGACGATGCCTGCTGCATATTGGGAGTTTGCGTGTCTCTCTTCCCGTGGTCGCGTGGATTTTCCCCGGGCCCGCCGGGTTTTCCCTCCACATTTAGGATCGACATCACCACGCGATGAGAGTATGTGGTTGCTCTGAATGTCCACGTGATGACGATGATATCAACCACTTCCTCGAGCTTCTGAAAAAAAAAATATACGTAGCTCAATGAGGCCCTGCCTGGTAAAATAAGAAAACTAGTTTCATAAAAAAAATATAGTTTTTAACAATCATTGGAATCATTGGAAGGATTTGATAAACCATTTCGGGGTCTTAATTTATTGTTCACGCTTACGATGGCTTTCAGACCGCATCCATTATTTTTCGTCTCCCCCCCTCCTCTTTTCCGAACATAGATGGACTCGTCCATCCCTACAGTCACGAACACAGATGGACTCGTCCATCCCTGCAGTCACGAACTTAGATGAACTCGTCCATCTGAACAAACTGCCAAATCGCTCTCCGTGGTGCTAACGTAAAAAAAAATCGCCACTTTTTTCAAATTTTCTTGCTGTGGTTTTCACACCTGATGATGATTGCTTGTGTTGCAGTCGAAACGTCGTGAAAATGTTATTGTTTTATATTTGTATTATTTTATTGTTTCCCTTCTACTTGGTGACTTTACCGAAAGAACCAAGAATATGAATCCCTGCAGTCACGAAAGCTTTAAATCAAAATTTAAATCAAAATTTAGTTTTTAGCAGTTTAGCTTCGCTATGCATTAGGGGTAAACTGGCGGATAATCGCGGATTATAGGAGTGGACAGGGTCTGACGTGAGATGAGTTCTCCTGTGCAGGGCAACAGCGGCACTGGCTGAAAATAAACCCACACGCGGTGTGATGACTTTTCCGATACGACTCCACGTGTCGCTCAATCCTGATGGGTCGTTGGATATTTAAGCTGAGTGCTGTTAGCGAGCGGCACCTGTGAAGGCCGGCACGGCACACGACGGGGTGGGTGGCCAGGACCACGCCCGGCCGCCTTTGTCTCCCCAGTGGCGATGTTTACACACCGCGCCAGGTACTCAATTGAGGCCGAGTCGACCTAGGAGAGGCCCCGTGACCGGTTCAGGTAATTGTCACTGGTGTTGGTGGCCGTGAGCGGGAATTGTCGGGTTCACGCCTGTGATACACTCACACTTATGACACACACACACGCACGCACACACCTGTGACACACACACACACACACCTGTGACATACACACACCTGTGACACACACACACCTGTGACACACACACCTGTGACACACACACACACCTGTAACTCACACACCTATGACACACACACACACCTGTGACACACACACCTGTGACACACACATACCTGTGACACACACACACCTGTGACACACATACCTATGACACACACACCTGTGACACACATACCTGTGACACACACACACACACACCTGTGACACACACACACACCTGTGACACACACACCTATGACACACACATACCTGTGACACACACATACCTGTGACACACACACACCTGTGACACACATACCTATGACACACACACACCTGTGACACACACACCTGTGACACACACACCTGTGACACACACACACCTGTAACACACACCTGTGACACACACACAGACCTGTGACACACACACACCTGTGACACACATACATGTAAAACACACACACACCTGTGACACACACACCTGTGACACACACACACCTGTGACACACACACACACCTGTGACACACACACCTGTGACACACACACACCTGCGACACACACTCACACCTGTGACACACTAACATCTGTGACACATTCACACCTGTGACACACACACACACCTGTGACACACACACACACACACCTGTAACACACACTCACACCTGTGACACACGCACATACCTGTGACACACACTCACACCTGTGACACACGCACGTACCTGTGATACACTAACATCTGTGACACATTAACACCTGTGACACACACACACGCACGCAAACACCTGTGACACACACACACACACACATCTGTGACACGCACACCTGTGACACACACACACACATCTGTGACACATACACCTGTGACACATACACCTGTGACACGCACACCTGTGACACACACACACACCTGTGACACACACACCTGTGACACACACACCTGTGACACACACACCTGTAACACACACACCTGTGACACACACTCACACCTGTGACACACACACACCTGTAACACACACACACCTGTGACACACAGTCACACCTGTGACACACGCACGTACCTGTGACACACACTCACCTGTGACACACACACACCTGTGACACACACTCACACCTGTGACACACACACACCTGTGACACACACACACACACCTGTAACACACACTCACACCTGTGACACACGCACATACCTGTGACACACACTAACACTTGTGACACCCACGTACCTGTGATACACTAACATCTGTGACACATTAACACCTGTGACACACACACACGCACGCACACACCTGTGACACACACACACATCTGTGACACGCACACCTGTGACACACACACACCTGTGACACACACACCTGTGACACACACACACCTGTGACACGCACACCTGTGACACACACACCTGTGACACACACACACACACCTGTGACACACACACACCTGTGACACACACTCACACCTGTGACACACACACACCTGTGACACCTGTAACACACACACACACCTGTGACACACACTCACACCTGTGACACACACACCTGTAACACACACACACCTGTGACACACACTCACACCTGTGACACACACACCTGTGACACACACTCACACCTGTGACACACGCACGTACCTGTGACACACACTCACCTGTGACACACACACACCTGTGATACACTAACATCTATTACACATTCACACCTGTGACACACGCACACACACCTGTGACACACAGTCACACCTGTGACACACGCACGTACCTGTGATACACTAACATCTATGACACATTAACACCTGTAACACACACGCACACCTGTGACACACACACACACACCTGTGACACACACACACCTGTGACACACACACCTGTGACACCTGTAACACACACACACACACACCTGTGACACACACACACACCTGTGACACACACACCTGTAACACACACATCTGTAACACACACACCTGTAACACACACTCACACCTGTAACACACTCACACCTGTGACACACTCACACCTGTGACACACACACACCTGTGACACACACCTGTGACACACACACCTGTGACACACACACACACACACATCTGTGACACGCACACCTGTGACACACACACTCACACCTGTGACACACTCACACCTGTGACACACACACACCTGTGACACACACACACCCTGTGACACACACACACCTGTGACACACACACCTGTGACACCTGTAACACACACACACACCTGTGACACACACACACACACCTGTGACACACACACCTGTAACACACCCATCTGTAACACACACACACCTGTAACACACACTCACACCTGTAACACACTCACACCTGTGACACACTCACACCTGTGACACACACACCTGTGACACACACACACCTGTGACACACACCTGTGACACACACAAACCTGTGACACACACACACACACATCTGTGACACGCACACCTGTGACACACACACTCACACCTGTGACACACTCACACCTGTGACACACACACACACACCTGTGACACACACACACCTGTGACACACACACCTGTGACACCTGTAACACACACACACACCTGTGACACACACACACCTGTGACACACACACCTGTAACACACACATCTGTAACACACACACCTGTAACACACACACTCACACCTGTGACACACTCACACCTGTGACACACACACACCTGTGACACACACACACCTGTGACACACACACCTGTGACACACACCTGTGACACACACACACACCTGTGACACACACACATCTGTGACACGCACACCTGTGACACACACACTCACACCTGTGACACACTCACACCTGTGACACACTCACACCTGTGACACACACCTGTGACACACACACCTGTGACACACACACATCTGTGACACGCACACCTGTGACACACACACACACCTGTGACACACACACACACCTGTGACACACACACACACACCTGTGACACACACACACACACCTGTAACACACACACATACCTGTAACACACACACACACACCTGTAATACACACACACACCTGTGACACACACACACACACACACCTGTAACACACACACACACACCTGTAACACACACACACACACCTGTAACACACACACACACACCTGTGACACACACACACACCTGTAACACACACACACACCTGTAACACACACATACCTGTAACACACACGCACGCACGCACCTGCACACCTCTGCATTGCGTCACACACCCTCACCCATTGTGCCAACCCCCCCACCCCTCACCCCCCACAGCCCACCATGGCCCCCCAAAAGGGTACCCAGCCCGCGGCCCTCAACGGCAAATCTGGGGACGTCGCCGCGGGCGGTAGCGGCGTGGTCGTCGCTCCTGGGGGGGCCGCCCAGGGGGGGGACGGCGAGCTCGGCCTGGACCCCTGCGGGGATGCGGGGGCGCTGGAGCCCCCCGCGAGGAAGCTGAAGGAGCGCGGGCACTGGAACAACAAAGTGGAGTTCGTGCTGTCCGTGGCTGGGGAGATCATCGGCCTGGGCAACGTGTGGCGCTTCCCTTACTTGTGCTACAAGAACGGCGGCGGTGAGCGCTCCCCGCCACAGGTGTGCGTGAGAGAGAGAGTGTGTCAGTGTGAGAGTGTGTCAGGGAGAGAGTGTGTCAGTGTGAGAGTGTGTCAGTGTGAGAGTGTGTCAGGGAGAGAGTGTGTCAGTGAGAGAGTGTGTCAGTGTGAGAGTGTGTCAGGGAGAGAGTGTGTCAGGGAGAGTGTGTGCGTGAGAGAGTGTGTCAGTGTGAGAGTGTGTCAGGGAGAGTGTGTGTCAGTGTGAGAGTGTGTCAGGGAGAGTGTGTCAGGGAGAGTGTGTCAGTGAGAGAGAGTGTCAGGGAGAGTGTGTCAGGGAGAGTGTGTCAGTGAGAGAGAGTGTCAGGGAGAGTGTGTCAGTGAGAGAGTGTGTCAGGGAGAGTGTGTCAGGGAGAGAGTGTGTCAATGAGAGAGTGTCAGTGAGAGAGAGTGTCAGGGAGAGTGTGTCAGGGAGAATGTGTCAGTGAGAGTGTCAGTGAGAGAGAGTGTCAGGGAGAGTGTGTCAGTGAGAGAGTGTGTCAGGGTGAGTGTGTGCGTGAGAGAGTGTCAGTGAGAGAGTGTGTCAGGGAGAGTGTATCAGGGAGAGAGTGTGTCAGTGGGAGAGTGTGTCAGGGAGAGTGTGTCAGGGAGAGTGTGTCAGGGAGAGTGTGTCAGGGAGAGAGTCTGTCAGGGAGAGAGTGTGTCAGTGGGAGAGTGTGTCAGTGAGAGAGTGTGTCAGGGAGAGAGTGTGTCAGGGAGAGTGTGTGTCAGGGAGAGAGTGTGTCAGGGAGAGTGTGTCAGGGAGAGTGTGTCAGTGAGAGTGTGTGTGAGAGAGTGTGTTAGGGAGAGTGTGCGTGAGAGAGTGTCAGGGAGAGTGTGTCAGGGAGAGTGTGTGAGAGATATGTGAGGGAGAGTGTGTCAGGGAGAGTGTGTCAGGCAGAGTGTCAGGGAGAGTGTGAGGGAGAGAGTGAGGGAGAGTGTGAGAGTGTGAGGGAGAGTGTGAGGGAGAGTGTGTCAGGGAGAGTGTCAGGGAGAGTGTCAGGTAGAGTGTGTCCGCCTGATGATGCTAGCTGTAATTACTGGCGAAACGTCGTACTCAGATTTGTAAATGTTGTGGATTTGCTCTCCAACACACCGGTGTGGTGCTGTACTAGTATACTACACTATACACTACACATATACACTACACTATACACTACACTATACACTACTATATGCACTACACTATACACTACACTATACACGACACTATACACTACACTATACAATATGCTACACTATATACTACACTACTATACACTACACTATACAATATGCTACACTATATACTACACTACTATACACTACACTGTACAATATACTACTATACACTACACTATACAATATACTACACTATACACTACACTATACACTACATTATACACTACACTGTACAATATACTACACTATACACTACACTATACACTACACTATACACTACACTATACAATATACTACTATACATTACACTACTATACACTACACTATACACTACACTATACTACTGTACACTACACTTTACACTATATTACTATACACTATACTATACTACACTATGCAATATACTACACTATACACAAGACACTACATTATACACTAGTGCTGTACTAGTATACTACACTACACTACTATACACTACACTATACACTACACGATACACTACACTAAACAATATACTACTATACACCACACTATACACTATACTATACAATACACTGCTATACACAATACACTACATTATACAATAATGCTGTACTAGTAACGAATCGGCCACGTTCTGTTTACGTGACAACCCTGAACTAATTGGCTGCGTCGTGTGGTGGCGGGTTTGACGACACATTTCTATCTACGCGATCTAACCCACACAACTTACACTATGGAAAAGTACAGCAATTGAGCAAATATGAATCACTGCAAAATCATCGCCTAATGTAATGATATTTTATTTCAGATAAAAAAAAGAAATCGTGGCCGCGAGTTGCGATGTGCGGAATTTCATAGAAGTATATCCTAGCGTCCTTTACAAATTCGCGATTTTAAATCCTGTACATTCTTTGTTAGGTTAACAGCAAAAATTCGATAAGGAGATTATATCGAGACATTGACATCTGGTGGTGGCGTACTGGAAGTGAGCAGCAGGGAGCCATCATCCCCATCACATCATCCCCTCTCATCATCCCCATCACATCATCCCCTCTCATCATCCCCATCACATCATCCCCATCACATCATCCCCATCACATCATCCCCATCACATCATCCCCATCACATCATCCCCTCTCATCATCCCCTCTCATCATCCCCATCACATCATCACCATCACACCATCCCCTCTCATTATCCCCATCACATCATCCCCTCTCATCATCCCCATCACATCATCCCCATCACATCATCCCCATCACATCATCCCCATCACATCATCCCCATCACATCATCCCCTCTCATCATCCCCTCTCATCATCCCCATCACATCATCCCCTCTCATCATCCCCATCACATGATCCCCATTCATCCCCATCACACCATCCCCTCTCATCATCCCCATCACATCATCCCCTCTCATCATCCCCATCACACCATCCCCTCTCATCCCCATCACACCATCCCCTATCATCCCCTCACATCATCCCCATCACATCATCCCCATTCATCCCCATCACACCATCCCCTCTCATCATCCCCATCACATCATCCCCATTCATCCCCATCACATCATCCCCTCTCATCATCCCCTCACATCATCCCCATCACATCATCCCCATTCATCCCCATCACACCATCCCCTCTCATCATCCCCATCACATCATCCCCATTCATCCCCTCTCATCATCCCCATCACATCATCCCCATTCATCCCCATCACACCATCCCCTCTCATCATCCCCATCACATCATCCCCATTCATCCCCATCACACCATTCCCTCTCATCATCCCCATCACATCATCCCCATTCATCCCCATCACACCATCATCACATCATCCCCTCTCATCATCCCCATCACACCATCCCCTCTCATCCCCATCACACCATCCCCTATCATCCCCATCACACCATCCCCATCACACCATCCCCTCTCATCCCCATCACACCATCCCCACTCATCCCCATCACACCATCCCCATCACACCATCCCCTCTCACCCCCATCACACCATCCTCTCTCATCCCCATCACACCATCCCCTCTCATCAGCCCCATCACACCATCCCCATCACACCATCCCCATCACACCATCCCCACTCATCCCCATCACACCATCCCCATCACACCATCCCCATCACATCATCCCCTCTCATCATCCCCATCATACCATCTCCACTCATCCCCATCACACCATCCCCTCTCACCCCCATCACACCATCCTCTCTCATCCCCATCACACCATCCCCTCTCATCATCCCCATCACACCATCCCCTCTCATCATCCCCATCACACCATCCCCACCCATCCCCATCACACCATCCCCACTCATCCCCATCACACCATCCCCATCACACCATCCCCTCTCACCAACCCGTTCTCCCCCTGTCGTGTCACAAAAAGAGCCACAGAATGGGCCCTAAAACAAAAGTGTGTGGGAGTTGGAGCGTGTCTGGGCTGCAGATGACTCCGATTGTGGGGGTGGACCCACGTGTGTGTGTGTGTCACTCTGTGCGCGTGGGGAGCGGTAGTGTAGTAGCGGCGACCCCAGTACGGTTCCCGCTCACCAAACAACTTCGGTGATTTAATGTCTGAGCCGGTCGTGGGCCTCACCTAGGTCGACTCAGCCTCAGATGAGTACCTGGTGCGAGATGTGAAACATCGCCACGAGGGAGACAAAGACGACCGGGCGTGATGCTGGCCACCCATCCCATCCCATCTTGTGCCGTGCCGGCCTTTATTGGTGCTACTCGCTAACGGCACTTGCCCCTTCAGTCTGTTTAGGCTACAGGGGAAGGGGGGGATATTTGTCTTTGTACGCGTGTGTATGTACGTGAGTGTCCATGTGTGTGTACATGTGTGTGTGTACGTGTGTGTATGTGTGTATGTGTGTCTGGAGGCTCCCCGTGGGGAGAGATTTCAGTTCTGTGGCTCCAGCAAATGGGAATTGGTCAGGGCACCTCATGGACGTCCGTCCCCCTCGGGACCTCCGCCTCATTCCTATTCTCGATCTCTCCTCTCCATCATTTTCTGCTAAATGAGATTTTGCTTGTGGGGGGGGGGGGGGTGGGAGGTGGGGGGGGGGGGGGCTATCATCTCCCCTCGAAATCCATCGCACTAGAGACCACCACCACCACCCACCTCATGTGCCACTGCGGTGTCTGTGAAGGGGCATCACGGAGCTAACCAGCCGAACAACGCCGTCAGCCTCTCCCGTACCCCAATGGCATTTGCTCACAACAAACCCACCGGCAATGTCGCTGCGGCGGCTGCGGCGGCGGCGGCGGCCGCGGCGGCGGCGGCGACATGTCGCACCGGTGGGGCAAGTTGGCTTGGCAGCGGGGGCCTCACTCAGAATCAATCCAGTGGTTGTTATCTTTTCATCGGCTGCCTAACCGCTGTGTGGAAATTGCCTTGGCCGTGTGTCGCTGCACCCAAAATAGATGTCAACCCCTCCCCCCCCCCACCTGCTCTATGCTTGTGGAACGTGGAGCCCTCTAAAGGACAACCTGTGTCAGGCTGAAACATTCAGGTTGGCCCTGCCTACGCTCCGTCCTGGGTTTAACCTGCAGGCAAGATTAGAGTATGAGGAGGTCGCAGATCCTTTAAAGGTCTGGGACACAGTACCCCGATCATCGCTGAGCTCCTCCGGCAGGCAAAGTCTGCGTTGGCTGGGTCAAGTAGCCCTCGTGCCCAGCCACCGCATGCCCAAAGCAGCTTCTGTTTGGCCAGATAGAGAGGGCTAGACGGGCGTGGGCTAGAGAAGAGACGGAGTGATGTGGTACAAGAGGATGTGGAGCTGAGTGGACTTGCCGATGACCGGTACCAGCGGTGTCAAGATCGGCCTCTGTGGAGGAGGCCCGTGAAGGACGCTGCTACCGGGCAGTTGGAGGCAGTCGCCCTCCAATGAACTGGAGGGTGAAGGGGCGACGCTCACAACAACGAGCGGAGCAACGGGCGACGAAAACGCTGGGAGTTAGCACAGTAGGGGATCACGGTTGGTGCATCTTCCAGTTATCTCAGTCAACTCATGGCACCTGGGCCTGTCCCGTAACTTCCTGCTATCGTCACTTAGCTGCCAATGGTGACTTGTTGTCGTGCTCCTTTATGAGTCCGTGTGTAAGCGCGTCACTGCTCGCTGACAGCACTTGCCCCAACAGTCTGTTAAGGCTATACGGGGGATCTTTGTCTTTGTCTTCGTATATCTGTTTCTCTCGCTGCCCTCTGTGTCCATACAGGTGCGTTCCTCGTCCCGTACTTGGTGTTCTTTCTGTCTCTGTGTGTGTGTCTGTGCATGTGCCTATATCTGCGTCTCTCGTGAGCACACAGGTGTGTTCTTCATCCCCTACGTCGTGCTCTTTGTGTCTGTGTGTGTGTCTACACGTGTCTCTGTGTGTGTCTGTACATGTGTCTGTGTGTGTGTCTACACGTGTCTCTGTGTGTGTGTCTCTACATGTGTCTGTGTGTGTGTCTACACGTGTCTCTGTGTGTGTGTCTACACGTGTCTCTGTGTGTGTGTCTGTACATGTGTCTGTGTGTGTGTCTACACGTGTCTCCGTGTGTGTGTCTGTACATGTGTCTGTGTGTGTATACACGTGTCTCTGTGTGTGTGTCTCTACATGTGTCTGTGTGTGTGTCTACACGTGTCTCTGTGTGTGTGTCTGTACATGTGTCTGTGTGTCTGTACATGTGTCTGTGTGTGTGTCTGTACATGTGTCTGTGTGTGTGTCTACACGTGTCTCTGTGTGTGTGTCTGTACATGTGTCTGTGTGTGTGTCTACACGTGTCTCTGTGTGTGTGTCTCTACATGTGTCTCTGTGTGTGTGTCTACACGTGTCTCTGTGTGTGTGTCTGTACATGTGTCTGTGTGTGTCTGTACATGTGTCTGTGTGTGTGTCTACACGTGTCTCTGTGTGTGTGTCTGTACATGTGTCTGTGTGTGTGTCTACACGTGTCTCCGTGTGTGTGTCTGTACATGTGTCTGTGTGTGTATACACGTGTCTCTGTGTGTGTGTCTCTACATGTGTCTGTGTGTGTGTCTACACGTGTCTCTGTGTGTGTGTCTGTACATGTGTCTGTGTGTCTGTACATGTGTCTGTGTGTGTGTCTGTACATGTGTCTGTGTGTGTGTCTACACGTGTCTCTGTGTGTGTGTCTGTACATGTGTCTGTGTGTGTGTCTACACGTGTCTCTGTGTGTGTGTCTCTACATGTGTCTCTGTGTGTGTGTCTACACGTGTCTCTGTGTGTGTGTCTGTACATGTGTCTGTGTGTGTCTGTACATGTGTCTGTGTGTGTGTCTACACGTGTCTCTGTGTGTGTCTCTACATGTGTCTGTGTGTGTGTCTACACGTGTCTCTGTGTGTGTGTCTGTACATGTGTCTGTGTGTGTGTCTACACGTGTCTCTGTGTGTGTGTCTGTACATGTGTCTGTGTGTGTCTACACGTGTTTCTGTGTGTGTGTCTGTACATGTGTCTGTGTGTGTGTCTACACGTGTCTCTTTGTGTGTGTCTCTACATGTGTGTGTGTCTCCGTGGCACTTGGGTCTGCCCCGTGACCTCCTGCCAGCGGGCGTTCGACACTTCACGTGGCCTCAAGGTGCACATGGCCTGCACAAGCGTCGTGGTGACGTCACCGCCACTTAGTGGCGAATGGCGGTTGTTGTTGTTGTGTGTTTCTCTATGTGTGTGTCTGTGTGTGTGTCTCTCACACGTGTCTCTGTGTGTGGTCGTACAGGTGCATTCCTCATTCCCTACGTGGTGTTCTTCGTGGGATGTGGGATCCCCGTCTTCTTCCTGGAGACGGCGCTGGGGCAGTTCACGAGCCAGGGCGGCATCACCTGCTGGAGGAAGATCTGCCCTCTCTTCGAGGGTGAGGCTGCGGTGGAGGACATGGTGGAGGTGGCAGACGAGGTGGAGGAGGAGGAGGAGGTAGTGGTGGAGGCAGCAGAGGTTGTGGTGTAGGAGGAGGTAGTGATGGAAGCGGAGGAGGTGGTGACAGAGGAGGCAAAAGTGGTGGTGGACGAGAAGGAGGAGGTAGCGGTGGAAGCAGAGGATGTGGTGGAGGCAAAAGTGGTGGTGGACGAGAAGGAGGAGGTAGTGGTGGTGGAGGAGACAGAAGTGGTGGAGGAGGAGGAGATGGTGGTGGAGACAGAAGTGGTGGAGGAGGAGGAGGTGGTGGTGGAGGAGGAGGCAGAAGTGGTGGTGGAGGAGGAGGTAGCGGTGGAGGTGGTGGTGGAGGAGGAGGTAGCGGTGGAGGTGGTGGAGGAGGAGGTAGCAGAGGAGATGGTGGTGGAGGAGGCAGAAGTTGTGAAGGAGGAGGAGGTGGTGGTGGAGGAGGCAGAAGTGGAGGATGAGGTTGTATTGAGGCGAGCGATCCCCCGTGCCACTGCGTGCAGGAATCGGATACGCGACCCAGGTGATCGTGGGCTTCCTCAACATGTACTACATCATCATCCTCGCCTGGGCCATCTTCTACCTATGCTTCGCTATCACGGGCGGCATGCAGTGGTCCTCCTGCAACAACGACTGGAACACGGGTACGGAGACACGCAGAGTGGTGGTGATGGTGGAGGTAGCTGAGATGTTAATGGTTGTGGTGGTGTAGATGGTGGTGGAGGTGGAATGCAGTGTTTTTCCTACAACAACGACGAGGATACCGGTACGGGGCTGTGCCGAGTGGTGGAGGTGACTCAAATGTTAGGGGTGGTGGTGGTGGTGGTGGAGGAGATGGTGCTTGCGATATTAGTATTGGAAGTATTAATGATCGTGGAGGTGGTCGTGGTGGTGGTGGTGAAGATAGTGTTGAGGTGTAAAAGGTAGTGGGGGAGGTGTTGGATGGTAATCGAGATGTTGGTGGTGACGTTGGTGGATAAGGTTGCAGAGCGGGTGATGGAGGTGGTGTTGAAAGTAGTGGTGGTGATGGAGATGGTGAAGAAGGTCGTGGAGATGATGATGGTGGTGGCCATGCACGTGACATCTAATCGAGCACTGTGGATGTGAGGGTTGGTGGAGCACGTGCAGATGTTGTGGAAATCCCTGTGGTGATCGAGGATCCTTATCGTGGCTCGCCAGGCGAAGGCTAAAATGTGCACCCCACTTTTTCCATCTGTACGGGATAGAGTGATTCTCTCTCGCACATGTGGGTTTTCTCCCGGTGCTCCAGTTTTTTTGTCCTATATAAAAACGCTCATTCGTTGACTGATAACACCTTCATAGAGAGCTTGGGCAATTGTTGGCGCTGGCTCACTGCGTGACTTCTTTCCCACTCGTCTGTGGATCCCTGCTCCCGCCTCCGAGTCTTTATATTATGGTGGTGAAGGAGGTTTGTGGTTCAGATATTAGTGGTGGTGGGGTGTCAAGCACCACTCATATGCAGACGACACTGTTCCGTTCACCGCCATCAATTATCCCAATGCGTCTGGATTTGAGAGGCTCTCGGAATGCACCACTGCCCTGCGACAGTGGTTCTCCGTACACAACCTTGCCCTTAATCCGTCAAAGTCAGTGGCCATCACGTTAGGTAGCAGGCAACGTCTCAACTCATCCACGCTCCCAACACACAAACACATCTTTGGTCACAGCATCAGGTTCACAGATCACCGCAGTTACCTCGGTGTCATCCTAGATTCAACTTTATCCTTTCACCGCCAAACCAATCTCATCATCAGTTCATGTAACTTTCACCTGAAGGTTCTCAGACACCTACGTTCTCTCATTACCACTGAAACTGCCAACACATTGGCGTGTTGCATAGTTGGGTCTCGCCTCGGCTATTGCAACGCCGTCCCAGTCCGGTCATCCTCTGGCAACCTCAAAAAACTTCAAAGACTACAAAACGACCTGGCACGCGTCGTCATTGGCCGCACTCATCCCCATCTCGACTCGCTCGCCTCTCCCTCCGTGCCCTCCACTGGCTACCCATCGCCAGCAGGGCCACATACAAGATCGCCTGCCTCTGCCACCACGCCTTCACATCTGCCTGCCCCCCCGTGCCTCTCTTCACTATTGACGACTCGCAGCACGGCACACGGCTGATGCCTTCGCAGTGAGAGACTCACCACCTCCTCTCGATACCAAGATGCAGGACGGCCACGTCTGTGCGCCGCTTCTCGGCGGCTGCCCCAACAGTCTGGAACCCCATTCCTCTGCACATTCGCAGCATCGCCTCAAACGTCTCCTTCAAGAGACACTTATGAAACTCACCTCTACAACTACGCTTTCGAGTGACTCTGAGCTTGGCTCCACGCCTCTGAGTTTGCGGCCATTACGTCCGCAAATTTTCGCGCATTATAAATTGCATTATTATTATTAAGGTGGTGGAGGTGATGGTGAAGGTTGTGGAGAATGGGGTGTTGAAGGAGGTGTTTGTGGTGTCAGAGGTCTTGATACCGTGGTTGAAACGTTGGTGATGGTGGTAGGAAAGATAGTGGAGGTGGTGAAGAAGTTGCTCATAATGGTGGAGGTAGTAGTGGTGGAGGAGGTAGTGGTGGCGGTGTAGGTAATGAACGTGGTGGAGATGGTGGGGAGCGGTTAGCGTGCAGCGCTACGAACCCAGCGACACATGTTCAATTCCCGCTCACGACCAACAACATTGAGAAATATCTGAACTGGTCATGGGCCTGCCCTAGGACGACTCAGCCTTAAAATAATTATTTCTTACAGTGTAGAAACATCAGCACTGGGAGACAAAGGTGGCCGGACGTGGTGCTGGCCACCCACCCCCTTGTGCGCTGTGCAGGCCTTCATAGGTGCACACTAACAGCACTCGCCCCAACAGTCTGTTAATGCTATCGGGGAGATCTTTGGGTGAGATTGTGGTGTCGGAGGTGTTTGAGATGGTGGTTGAGATGTTGGTGATGGTGAAGGTGGGGTGTTGGTTGGAATATTGACGGCCGTGTTGTTGGTGAGTGCGATGGAGGTATTCTAGAAGACGCTGGTTGAGATGATCGTGGGAAGTGGTGATGGCCAAGGTGAAGGTTTTGCTCTGTAAATTACCTCTCTCCGCTGTTCACCCGACCCCAGTGAACTGTCAAGAGTTCCGGGTGAACCTGACGCAGGCCAATGGGACAGTCCTCCTGGGGAAGTCCAACGCCACGTCACCCGTCATCGAGTTCTGGGAGTGAGTGGACTCATCTCACCCGGTCACTCATCTCGCCTGGTTACTCACCTAGCAGGGTCACTCATCTGTCCTGTCCACTGATCTCCCCAGAAATGTCATCTTAACCAGACACTCATCTCACCCGGACACTCATCTCTCCTGGTTACTCACCTAGCAGGGTCACTCATCTGTCCTGTCCACTGATCTCCCCAGAAATGTCATCTTAACCAGACACTCATCTCACCCGGACACTCATCTCTCCTGGTTACTCACCTAGCAGGGTCACTCATCTGTCCTGTCCACTGATCTCCCCAGAAATGTCATCTTAACCAGACACTCATCTCACCCGGACACTCATCTCTCCTGGTTACTCACCTAGCAGGGTCACTCATCTGTCCTGTCCACTGATCTCCCCAGAAATGTCATCTTAACCAGACACTCACCTCACCCGGACACTCATCTCACCTGGTTACTCACCTAGCTGGGTCACTCATCTGTCCTGTCCACTGATCTCCCCAGAAATGTCATCTTAACCAGACACTCATCTCACCCGGACACTCATCTCTCCTGGTTACTCACCTAGCTGGGTCACTCATCTGTCCTGTCCACTGATCTCCCCAGAAATGTCATCTTAACCAGACACTCATCTCACCCGGACACTCATCTCTCCTGGTTACTCACCTAGCTGGGTCACTCATCTGTCCTGTCCACTGATCTCCCCAGAAATGTCATCTTAACCAGACACTCATCTCACCCGGTCACTCATCTCTCCTGGTTACTCACCTAGCAGGGTAACTCATCTGTCATGTCCACTGATCTTCCCAGAAATGTCATCTTAACCACTCATCTCATCCGGTCACTCATCTCACCTGGTTACTCACCTAGCTGGATCGCTCATCTGTACTGTCCACTGATCTCCCCAGAAATGTCATCTTAACCAGACACTCATCTCACCCGGTCACTCATCTCTCCTGGTTACTCACCTAGCAGGGTAACTCATCTGTCATGTCCACTGATCTTCCCAGAAATGTCATCTTAACCAGACACTCATCTCACCCGGTCACTCATCTCTCCTGGTTACTCACCTAGCAGGGTAACTCATCTGTCATGTCCACTGATCTTCCCAGAAATGTCATCTTAACTACTCATCTCATCCGGTCACTCATCTCGCCTGGTTACTCACCTAGCAGGGTCACTCATCTGTACTGTCCACTGATCTCCCCAGAAATGTCATCTTAACCAGACACTCATCTCACCCGGTCACTCATCTCACCTGGTCATTCAAATCAACTGCACTCTCGTCTTATCTGGTTACTCATCTTACTTGCACTCATCTCACATGGTTACTCATCTCACATTCTAGTAGCACATTTCACCTGATGGTCACTCATCTCACCGGGACATTCATCCCAATGCAATAGAATGCCACTTTGCAGTGTATAATGTAAGTATATTTAAAATGCACGAAAATTAATTTACGTATTCTCCGTCGCCCTCTTCCAATGGACTCTCTCCGTCCCCCTCGCTCTCTGCCCCCCCGCCCCCACCTCCAGGCGCCGTGTGCTGGGTCTCTCGTCCGGGATCGAGAAGATTGGCTCTCTGCGCTGGGAGCTGGCGCTGTGTCTCCTCGCCGCGTGGATCATCTGCTACTTCTGCATCTGGAAGGGAACCAAGTCTACCGGCAAGGTGCGTGGGCGCCGCTCGCCAGAGACTCCCCCCACCAAAGCCCCACCCCCCCTCACCCTACCCTCCCGCCACGCTAGAGATGATGCCAAGCGACCAGCAACAAGCGGCACCATCTACAGACAAGGCAGCGAGCCTCGGTAGATCAGGCGAGATCATTGGGGGGGTGTAGTCACCACCGTCCTGGGAGGGTGGTAGCCTCACCTCCAGTCACCACGTACGTAAATGTGTACAGTCGTGTTCTTCCCTTGCGCGGTGTAGTTGTTGCGTTCCTGAAGAAGACCGCTCAATGGAAAAATCGCGTTATGATGAATAATAAATAATGTTGGGTACAGCACAGTCCACGAAAGCACGTGAGGTGCGCACGCAGGCCGAAGAGAAGACCGAGGCACGTGGGTAGCATCTAGAAGCATCCAGCAGCATCCCGCCTCGTGCGATGATGCTACGCCGAGGCAGCCGTTTGACCGCTTATTCCTACTCCCGCGGCGTACTTCCGTTCGCTCAATTGCCTCACGTCCAATCGGCGTTACGAAAACGTGCGGCACGGGAGAACAGATTGAGCCTCTTTCGCCCGCCGTGCGTAAGCCAGCGGTGCGAATCAGAGGCGTGCCACGGGGGGCCACGTGATGTCTCTCTCGACCGCCCCGCGCACCGGCTCACCTGTCTTACCCCCCACGCAATCCTACCCCTCCCCCCACCCGGGCCTCCTCCTCCGCCCCCCCCCCCCCCCCCCCCGTGTAGGTGGTGTACGTGACGGCCACCTTCCCCTACGTGATGCTCGTCGTGCTGCTGCTGCGCGGGGTCACGCTGCCCGGCGCCTCCGAGGGGGTCAAATTCTACCTCTACCCCGACCTGAGCCGCCTCTCCGATCCACAGGTGTGCCAGCCCCGCCTCCCTCCTCCTCTACCCCCCTCCCATAGCCCCCCCCCTCCTCCATCCTCCCCCTTCTCTACCTTTTCCCCATCTTCTACCCTCCCCCACAGCCCCTCCCCCTGACTCTACCAACTCCCGTAGCCCGAGAGCCCCTTCCTCCCCCTTCTCCAGATGCCCTCCCCCCCCGCTGCTCCCCCCTCCCCTCCCCTCCCCTTAGAGGGGGGCTGCCGTTCTCCCACAGCGATTCATTCCGTACCTTAATTGATGCCTTCTAATGCGAGCCCTGCGATGATGAGCGATAGCCCCCCCCGCCCCCCCCCCCCATCATCTTCGTGTGTGCCCGCTCACGTCTCTATCTGAGACCCACGCTCACTTCCCCTGACGATGGCGCCTCCCTTGAAATCCCCTCTTTACCCCTCACTACCCTCCCCCTACCCACCTCCCCCTCCCTCCCATCCCTCCCCATCCCTCCCCCCTCTCCCTCCCCATCCCTCCCCCCTCTCCCTCCCCCCTCTCCCTCCCCATCCCTCCCCCCTCTCCCTCCCCATCCCTCCCCCCCTCCCCCCCCTCCCATCCCTCCCCCCCCTCCCCCCCCTCCCCCCCCTCCCCCCCCTCCCATCCCTCCCCCCCCTCCCATCCCTCCCCCCCTCCCATCCCTCCCCCCCTCCCATCCCTCCCCCCCCTCCCATCCCTCCCCCCCTCCCATCCCTCCCCCCTCCCATCCCTCCCCCCCTCCCATCCCTCCCCCCCCTCCCATCCCTCCCCCCTCCCATCCCTCCCCCCCCTCCCATCCCTCCCCCCTCCCATCCCTCCCCTCCCCTCCCATCCCTCCCCCCCCCCTCCCCTCCCATCCCTCCCCCCCCATCCCCTCCCTCCCCCCCCATCCCCTCCCTCCCCCCCCATCCCCTCCCTCCCCCCCCATCCCCTCCCTCCCCCGCCATCCCCTCCCTCCCCCCCCCATCCCCTCCCTCCCCCCCCCATCCCCTCCCTCCCCCCCCATCCCCTCCCTCCCCCCCCATCCCCTCCCTCCCCCCCCATCCCCTCCCTCCCCCCCCATCCCCTCCCTCCCCATCCCTCCCCCCCATCCCTCCCCCCCCCATCCCTCCATCCCTCCATCCCTCCCCCCCCCTCCATCCCTCCCCCCCCCTCCATCCCTCCCCCCCCCCATCCCTCCCCCCCCCATCCCTCCATCCCTCCATCCCTCCCCCCCTCCCATCCTTCCCCCCCCTCCCATCCCTCCCCCCCCTCCCATCCCTCCCCCCCCCTCCCATCCCTCCCCCCCTCCCATCCCTCCCCCCCTCCCATCCCTCCCCCCCCTCCCATCCCTCCCCCCCTCCCATCCCTCCCCCCCTCCCATCCCTCCCCCCCTCCCATCCCTCCCCCCCTCCCATCCCTCCCCCCCCTCCCTCCCCCCCCCCATCCTTCCCCCCCCTCCCATCCCTCCCCCCCTCCCATCCCTCCCCTCCCATCCCTCCCCTCCCCTCCCCTCCCTCCCATCCCTCCCCTCCCCCCCATCCCTCCCCTCCCCTCCCTCCCATCCCTCCCATCCCTCCCCTCCCATCCCCATCCCTCCAAATCCCTCTCCCTCCCCATCCCTCCCCATCCCTCCCCATCCCTCCCCTCCCTCCCCATCCCTCCCCTCCCCTCACCTCTCTCGCCTCCCTCGCCTCGCCTCCCTCCTCCACTTGACTCTCTTGTCGATCTCCTCCGCTGTTCATCCATCACGTTGCTCCCCCGTCCCCTCCTTCCTCCCTCCCATCGATCCGAGTGGTCGCCCTGTTAATGGAGACGCATGGCCCCCGAGTTCTGTGCGAGTGAACTCGCAATCCCGTCGACAATGTTTGTCACAATTATGGCCGGATAACGCAAATAGCACCTCGCATACCACCTCGCATACTGACACACGCTCACACGCTCGTACACACTCTCACGTATAAACTCGCACTCTCTCACACAGTCACATTAACAAAGGACAAAAATCCGCTGTATAGCCTTATCAGACGTTTTGTGCGAGCACCTATGAAGGCCGGCACCGCACAAGAGGGGGTGGGTGGCCAGCACCACGCCCGACCGCCTTTGTCTCCCCAGTGGCGATGTTTACACACTGCACCGGGTACTCATTTGACGCTGAGTCTACCTAGGGGAGGCCCAGGACCGGTGCAGATAATCGTCACTGGTGTTGGCCGTGAGCGGGAATCGAACCCGGATCGCCGGGTTCGTAGCGCAGCGCGCTAACCGCTACACCACCGCTGCCGTCATACATACACACACTCTTACATACACACTCTCACACACACTCACACTCTCACATACACACACTCATACACACACTCTCACATACACACGCTCATACTCACACTCTTACATACACACTCTCACATACACACTCATATTCACACTCTCACATACACACACTCATACACACACTCTCACATACACACGCTCATACTCACACTCTCACATACACACTCATACTCACACTCTCACATACACACACTCTCACATACACACTCATACTCACACTCTCACATACACACACTCATACACACACTCTCACATACAAACACTCATACTCACACACACTCATACTCACACTCTCACATACTCACACTCTCACATACTCACACTCTCACATACACACACTCATACTCACACTCTCACATACACACACTCTCACATACACACTCACAAACACACACTCATATCACACTCTCACATACACACACTCTCACATACACACTCTCACATACAACAACCGCCATTCGCCACTAAGTGGCGGTGACGTCACCACGACGCTTGTGCCAGGACATGTGCACCTTGAGGCCACGTGGAGTGTCGAACGCCCGCTGGCAGGAGGTCACGGGGCAGACCCAGGTGCCACGGGTCGACTGACTGAGATGACTGCCTGATGCACCACCTGTGCCCCCTACTGTGCCAACCTGCTGTGCTTTAGCTACCCGGCGCTCTGCTCGTTGTTGTGAGCGTCGCTCCTCCGCCCTCCGTTGTTGTTGGAGGGCGGCTACCTCCAACTGCCCAATAGCGTCCTTCACGAGCCTCCTCCACAGAGGCCGATCTTGACATTGCTGGTACCAGTCATCGGCAAGTCCACTCAGCTCCACGTCCTCCTGTACCACATCACTCCATCTCTTCTCTAGCCCGTGCTGCGCCCGTTTAGCCCCCTCGATCCGGCCGAACAAAAGCTGTTTCGGCATGCGGTGGCTGGGCATGCGGGCTACATGACCCAGCCATCGCAGCCTTGCCCGCCGGAGGAGCTCACCGATGGGACCTTGCCCAGATCTTTCAAGGATTTGTGAGCTCCTCACACAATCCAGTCTGGTTAAACCCAGGATGGATCGTAGGCAGGCCAGCCGAAATGTTTCTAACCAGCGAAGATGTTCCATTAGGGGGGTCCACGTTTCACAAGCGTAGAGAAGGGAGGGAATGACCATGGCCGAGAAGACCTGAAGCTTAGTGTGGAGCGACAGACCAGGTAGCTTCCACACAGCGTTACGCAACCGATGAAAAGATATTGTCGCTCGACTGATTCGGAGTGAGACCTCTGCTGTTAAACTGGAGCCGGTCATAAGCACACTTCCCAGGTATGGGAAACTCTCCACTCTCTCCACAACTGCCCCATCACCGATTGGGAGTTGTGGGGGTGGTGTGTCCGATGGTACAAAATACCCAGGCAGGTGCTTAGTTTTGGTGGGGCTGATGGTAAGGCCCCATCTCATAGTGGCATGCTCCAGTCTCAGCAGCAGCGTCTCCAACTCCTCCTCTGAATGAGCAGCTATTACCAAATCATCAGCATACATAACGTGGTTGAGCAATAGGGAGCCATCCCTTGACCGCACCCGGGCATCGATCAGCCTCCCATAATATCTGTACCATATGGAGATTCCCCCGGTACAGCTATTGAAGGCTTCACGAACTACATGTTCAAAATAGATGTTAAATAATGTGGGAGCCAGAGGACATCCCTGTCGCACCCCAAGGTGTACAGGGAATGGCTCTGACTCCCGGCCACGTAGTTTTACCCGGGCCCGCTCACCATCATGAAGGTCCTTAATGATCGTGAGCAGAGGGTCAGGTACTCCAAAAGCACGAAGAACAACCCAGAGCCCAGGCCTACTGATGGTATCATAGGCCTTCACAAGGTCAATAAAGCAGAGATGTAGGTCTTGCTGGAATTCCTTATACCTCTGCTGTAGCAGACGGACAGAAAATATGGCATCTGTGCAGGACCGCCCTTTGTTGAAACCGCATTGGGGCTCTGCAAGCCTCTCCTCAGCGTGCCTGGCAAGGCGATGTTGAATAATCCTTGCCAGGACCTTTCCCGGCACACTGAGGAGTGAGATGCCCCTGTAGTTGTTACAGTCTGTGCGGTCCCCCTTCTTAAAGAGGGGGACCACCAGGGCATCCTTCCAATCCTGCGGAACCCGTTCAGTGGTCAAGACTGTTATTATGATGTCATATAGGGCAATCTGTGCACAAACGCCACCCTCCCTCAGCATTTCGCTTGGGAGATCATCTCTGCCCGCTGCCGTTCCTGGTCTCAGACTCCGGATCGCCTTCAGTACTTCCTCAACAGATGGCACCTCAGCCAGTCACTCACAGGGGGTGACTTCTTCCAATATTTGAGGCACCGCAGCCTCAGCAGTGTCATCCTCACTTTGTGCCACAATGTTTTCCTGACTGAGGGATTTTCCCTCCCCCAGAACCTCACAGAAATGTTCAGCAAATCTGCAAACCTGTTCCTGGGGGTCGGAGATTGGATCACCGTTTTTTCCCCTAATGATGGTAATAGGTGTGGCGCTGCAGGTTACTTTTTTAATGGAGTTAAATTGAGATTTGTGATCACGGGCCACTGAGGCAGTCTCCATCTCCTCAGAAACCCGCGACCACCACCCATCCTTGCAGCGCCTCACGGCTCTCCGAACCTCCGAGCGAAGGCTGCGGTAAGCCTCCTCATTCTCTGACGTGGGATTCTGTAGCCGATGACAGTGGGCCTGTCGCTTTTTCTCAACCATCCTGAACACCTCCTCTGTCAGCCAGGGTCTCTGGGGAGGTCTGGACCGCGTACCCAAAACAGCCATTGCAACTGCATGAGTCACAGTCCTAAACCTCGCCCATTTACCCTCGACATCAGGAGGAGTCGGGGACGATGCCAATCCCAGCCGCAAGCGATGATGAAATTCTCGCTTGCAACTTTCATCAGATAACTGAGACCAGGCCACTTTAGGTTGGAATGGGGTTCTGGGTGTACACCCACCACCGGAGTGGAAGAATGGCAGGCGCATCTTACAGATGACTAGTCGATAGTCAGAGGGCAGATCAGCTCCACGGTAGGTCCTGGTGTCAAGGACATGGGCTCGCATCCGCTGGTCCGTCACTATGTAGTCCAGCAGGTGTTCTTGCTTGAACCCGGCATGCATCCATGATGTTGTGTGGATGCGCCGATGCCGGAACAGCGTGTTGGTAATTACAAGCCCATGGGCTGCACACAAATCTAGCAGCCTCCTACCGTTGTTATTGAGCTGATCTGGCCCATGCCCTCCAATCACTCCAGACCAGGTGCCAGCATCATGACCAACTCGGGCATTGAAGTCACCCAACATGATGACTCTATCCCGAGGTGCCACTTTAGCCAGCACCTGTGACAGGAGGTCATAGAAGGCATCTGACTCATCGGCTTTGCCTGCATCCCTCCACGGATGTTCGTCTTCGGTGGGGGCATAAGTAACCACGACCACCACTCCTCGCCTCCAGTTGATGGGAAGGCGAGCCCAAAGTAGCCTGGGGCTTACAGCTTCCCACACCTCACCACCACGCTCCCACGCCCCCTTCATTCTTTTGTTCAAAAGAAGAGCCACACCCTGTTGTTTGGCAGTCCCACACTCTCACACACATTCTCATTCACACACCAGGTTATCTGTTCAGCATCGGCTGTACACCCACACCTCAAAGCTCTGTACTATACACACGTGTCTCCATCATCATCATCAGCCGTGGTCAATCCATTGCTGAACGAAGGCATATTCTGCCAGCATGGCAGTGGATTCTTGAATCCATCTGTGGGGAGCTTCGAGTGTCACCCCGTCGTGTTACGAGGCGCGTTTTCTCTGGGGTCTCTGCGTGGTTAATGAGGCGGAGTGTGATGAGGAGTGTGATGAGGAGGAGTGTGATGAGGAGGAGTGTGATGAGGAGTGTCATGAGGAGTGTGATGAGGAGGAGTGTGATGAGGAGGAGTGTGATGAGGAGGAGTGTGATGAGTGTGATGAGGAGGAGTGTGATGAGTGTGATGAGGAGTGTGATGAGTGTGATGAGGAGGAGTGTGATGAGTGTGATGAGGAGGAGTGTGATGAGTGTGATGAGGAGGAGTGTGATGATTGTGATGAGGAGTGTGATGAGTGTGATGAGTGTGATGAGGAGGAGTGTGATGAGTGTGATGAGGAGTGTGATGAGTGTGATGAGGAGGAGTGTGATGAGAAGTGTGAGGAGTGTGATGAGGAGGAGTGTGATGAGGAGTGTGATGAGGAGGAGTGTGATGAGTGTGAGGAGTGTGATGAGCGTGATGAGGAGGAGTGTGATGAGTGTGATGAGTGTGATGAGGAGGAGTGTGATGAGTGTGATGAGAAGGAGTGTGATGAGTGTGATGAGGAGGAGTGTGATGAGTGTGATGAGGAGGAGTGTGATGAGTGTGATGAGGAGGAGTGTGATGAGTGTGATGAGTGTGATGAGGAGGAGTGTGATGAGGAGGAGTGTGATGAGTGTGATGAGTGTGATGAGGAGGAGTGTGATGAGGAGGAGTGTGATGAGTGTGATGAGGAGGAGTATGATGAGTGTGATGAGGAGGAGTGTGATGAGTGTGATGAGGAGGAGTGTGAGGAGTGTGATGAGTGTGATGAGGGCTATGAGAAGGCTGAGACTATTGAGGATAATGATGGCGAGGAGAAGGAGGAGGAAGTTGATGAGGAGGCTGATGATATTGAGATGGAGGAGGAAGTTGATGAGGAGGCTGATGATATTGAGATGGAGGAGGAAGTTGATGAGGAGGCTGATGATATTGAGATGGAGGAGGTATCGTTAGGGCATGAGGCTCCACTTTTGCTCCCCCCCCCCACTCCTTACATAACGGGCAGGAGGAGGGGGGGCATTAGGAGGGGAGGAGCCCCCCCCCTATCCCCCCACACCCCCAACTCCCCCCACCCACTCCTTACCCCCTAGGCAACGCGGGTGCCGTGAAATTGATGTTGGCGAGTCACGTGATGAGAGGAGGGCGGGTGGGGGGGGGGCACTCCCCCGCCCCCCGTCGTCTACGCTCCCCCCCCCCGCTCACCCCGAGCCCGCAGCTGAGACGACGACGACATTGATGTCCCCACTGCTATTGCAGTAATGACTCGAGCAGCGAGAGGGGCTGGCAAGGAGACAAAGGGAGGGCTGGGGAGACGAGGGGAGGATGGAGAGGGGGAGGGAGGGGAGCATCACCCCCCCACCCCCCATCACCCCTCTCCCATCACCCCTCCCCCATCACCCCCCCCCCCTCTTCCATCACCATCTCCATCACTACCTCCATCACGGCCGGGTGGCATCACGGTGGTAACACTCGCGCCGAACAGCAAAAAAGGCGCCTGAGCCCCATTCTGTGCAGAGTTGTATTCTCTCTCTCCTCCCTGTTGTGTAGATTGCCACCAGTCACCCAGCTACCCAGCCACCCAGCCAGCCATCCAGCCAACTACCCACACACCCACTCAGCCATCCACCCACCCAGTCACCCAGCCAACCAGCCAACTACCCAGTCGCCCAGCCAACCAGCGAGCCATCCAGCCAACCACCCACACACCCACTCAGCCATCCACCCACCCAATCACCCAGCCAACCAGCCAACTACCCAGTCGCCCAGCCAACCAGCGAGCCATCCAGCCAACTACCCACACACCCACTCAGCCATCCACCCACCCAGTCACCCAGCCAACTACCCAGTCGCCCAGCCAACCAGCGAGCCATCCAGTCAACTACCCACACACCCACTCAGCCATCCACCCACCCAGTCACCCAGCCAACCAGCCAACTACCCAGTCGCTCAGCCAACCAGCGAGCCATCCAGCCAACTACCCACACATCCACTCAGCCATCCACCCACCCAGTCACCCAGCCAGCCACCGAACCAGCCAACTAATCAGTTAGTCACCCAGCCAGCCATCCAGTCACCCACCCAGCAACGCACCCACCTAGTCACCCACCCAGCAACCCACCCACCCAGCCATCCACCCGGGCAGCCACCCAGCCACCCAGCCACCCACCCACCCATCAATCCACCCACCCACCCAGCCATCTACCCGGGAAGCCACCCAGCCAACCTACCCACCCAGCCACTACTCAGCCACCCACCAACCCAGCCATCCACCAGGGCAGCTACCCAGCCACTCCTCAACCCACGGACTTCCTCAGCTTCCCATGTTCACACGCCACATCTGCTATCGACCCCCCGGGGTGTTTGGGCTGTCGGTCGCTAACAGCGGAGGTCCATATCTCGCCACCCGTCGTCGCTTGTCGATAATTCTCATCGTCTCCGTTCTTCACTGAATAATTGGCCACAGCAACGAGAGAGACGCAAGCTCGTGATGACGCTGCGTGTGTGTGTCACTTTGCGTGCTACCGTGTCCGTCGCTATGGAGAGCGGTGGCGCAGTGGTTGGCGCGCTGCACTAACGAACCCGATGATCCGAGTTGGATTCCTGCTCACGGCCAACATCGGTGGCGATTATTTTAACCGGTCCTGGACCTCCCCTAGGTTGAACGACCTCACAGACAAAGGCGGCCGGGCGTGGTACCAGCCACCCACTCCCTCGCCTGGCACTGCAGCCTTAACAAGGAATCAATAGCAGCACTTGCCCCAACGGTCTATGTAGGCTATACGGGTGACATTTCTCTTTATCCGCGTGTCTCTCGCAGGTGTGGGTTGACGCAGGGACTCAAATCTTCTTCTCCTATGCCATCTGCCTGGGATGCCTCACCGCCTTGGGGAGCTACAACAACTACAACAACAACTGCTACAGGTGCGATGCTTTTTTCAGGCTGAGTCGGCCTAGAGGCACGGCCTATACAACAAGCGGAAGCAGCGCGGCTCGGTTCGCCACTGAGTGGCGGTGACGTCACCGCAGCGCTTGTGCCAGGCTAGGTGCACCGTGAGGCCGTCGCGTGAAGTGTGAGTGACCCTTTGTCAAGAGGTCACCGGACACTCAGAGAGCACCGATGTAGGCTGGCACGGCACACGAGGGGGTGGCGTGGTTCAGCCACATGCCCGGACGTCTTTGTCTCTCCAGTGCTGATGTTCTACACCGGGTACTCATTTTAAGGCTGGGTTGACCTAGGGGTAGGCTTCAGGGCCGGTTCAGATATCGCTTGCTGCCGATAAGATGCCAGCCCTGGTCGGGCATCGAACTCGGGTCTGCCGGGTTCGAAGCGCAGTGTGCTAACCACCGCGCCACGTTTCCCCATTTGTACACGAGGGTGTGATGTGGGCAGCTTCTTTGTTTTCCGAGTGGTGCTGTTTACAAACCACACCGGGCACTCGTTTTAGGCTGAGTCGACCTAGGGGATGCCCAGGACCGTTTTAGATAATCATCACTGGTGTCGGCCGTGAGCGGGAATCAAACTTGGGCCCCCTGGTCCGGTTCACGCACTGTGCACTGCGTTGCGCTAACCACTGCGCTACCGTTCCCCACACACGTACACACACTTGGACATCACAATCATACGCACACAAAGACAATCCCTTCACACATGACCCGGCTTGTTTGATACTGGCCCCTGACCGCTCATGGTACTGATAGTTGACCCCTTGTTTATGACCCCTGACCTCTGAGTCTTGTGGCTGTGTCCTCTCGACTCCTCGTGGTACTGACCCTTGACCCCCCTTCATCCTCGTTGATTTTGACCTCTGACCCATGACCCCCCCCCCCCCCCTGCAGGGACTGCGTGATGCTGTGCTGCCTGAACAGCGGCACGAGCTTCGTCGCTGGCTTCGCCATCTTCTCCGTGCTCGGCTTCATGGCACTCGAGCAGGGGGTCAACATCGCCGAGGTCGCCGAGTCAGGTGGGTTCGGGGTGGGGGGGGAGGGTCATGCGGGTTAAGGCGTCGGCAGCGTTAGCACTTTGCTGACAAAATTTGTGATGGAAGTTATTGTCAACCAAGCGTTCGGTCCCTGACGGCTTCGAGTAGATGAAATGGTGCTGGAGTTTCCCAGCTCCCGTGTCTCCCACCTGCCGTGTCTCTCACCCCCGTGTCTCCCACCCCCCGTGTCTCTCACCCCCGTGTCTCTCACCCCCCGTGTCTCCCACCCCCCGTGTCTCTCACCCCCCGTGTCTCCCACCCCCCGTGTCTCCCACCCCCGTGTCTCCCACCCCCCGTGTCTCCCACCCCCCGTGTCTCTCACCCCCGTGTCTCTCACCCCCCGTGTCTCTCACCTCCCGTGTCTCTCACCTGCCGTGTCTCTCACCTGCCGTGTCTCTCACCCCCGTGTCTCCCACCCCCCGTGTCTCTCACCCCCGTGTCTCTCACCCCCCGTGTCTCCCACCCCCCGTGTCTCCCACCCCCCGTGTCTCTCACCCCCCGTGTCTCTCACCCCCGTGTCTCTCACCCACATAGACTCTCCCGTGTCACTCCCACCCCCGTGTCTCTCACCCCCGTGTCTCTCACCCCCGTGTCTCTCACCCCCGTGTCTCTTACCCCCGTGTCTCTCACCCCCCGTGTCTCCCACCCCCGTGTCTCCCACCTCCCGTGTCTCTCACCCCCGTGTCTCTCACCCCCGTGTCTCCCACCCCCCGTGTCTCTCACCCCCCGTGTCTCTCACCCCCGTGTCTCCCACCCCCGTGTCTCCCACCCCCCGTGTCTCTCACCCCCGTGTCTCCCACCCCCGTGTCTCCCACCTCCCGTGTCTCTCACCCCCGTGTCTCTCACCCCCGTGTCTCCCACCCCCCGTGTCTCTCACCCCCCGTGTCTCCCACCCCCCGTGTCTCTCACCCCCCGTGTCTCTCACCCCCGTGTCTCTCACCCCCCGTGTCTCTCACCCCCCGTGTCTCCCACCCCCCGTGTCTCTCACCCCCGTGTCTCCCACCCCCCGTGTCTCCCACCCCCCGTGTCTCCCACCCCCCGTGTCTCTCACCCCCCGTGTCTCCCACCCCCCGTGTCTCCCACCCCCCGTGTCTCTCACCCCCCGTGTCTCCCACCCCCCGTGTCTCCCACCCCCCGTGTCTCTCACCCCCCGTGTCTCCCACCTCCTCTGTCTCCTGTGTCTCCCACTCCCAGTATCTCCCATCCCCATGTCTCCCATTCTCAGCGTCTCCCGCTTACGCGTGTCTCCCACCCACGGCGTCTCGTTGATTGTATTTGTTGACGTGGGTAAAAAGCATTCAGCCGTCAGCTGCTTCACGAAAGAATGTCGCAAAGCAGCGGAGATGCTCGGTGACAAAAAAGAGGAAGTTACAGCGGCGAATAACAAATAACAACATTGCGGATACTGAATAGCGATCGCATTCGAGGGAACCAACAATATTGAAAGGTGCCACGGTGGCTAGGAGATGTTAACTACCTCGCCTGGCATACAGGAGGTCGTGGGTGAGATCCCGACCATGACGCTTCTATATTTAGAGTTTTCATATTCTACCCGTGGGTTGCGTGGATTTTTCCCCGGGTCACCGTGTAATGGAAAGCCAGAAAATAAACAGAACCTGCATGGTGAACGGGCAGAACGAGGCGGGGGGTAAAGGCGAGTTTACCCACTCACTCACCAACTCACTCACCAACTCACCCAGCCACTCACCAACTCACCCCCTCGCTCATCCACTCACCCACCCACTCATCCACTCACCAACTCACTTACCAACTCACCCAGTCACTCACCAACTCACCCGCTCACCCTCTCGCTCATCCACTCACCCACTCGCTTAGAACCAGGGTGTATGGCCACACCTAAGGCTGCGAGAGTAGAGGCAAGTTTCTGGAGGTGAGTTTTGAAGATGGGACTTGAATAGCTCTAACGACTCTGAACGTCTGATAATTAGCAAAGGCAACGCGTTGTTCCAAAGCTTGGGCGCTGCACGGTGGCAACAGCCCGGTCAGCCCAGGAACAGGTCGCACTCATTACACACAACGTGCAGGCCACGAATGAACCACAATACCTCGCTGACCTCGTCAAAGAGCATGAACCATCATCACGTGAACTCTCACGGTCATCCTCGCGGACGCAGCTCTTGGCTAAGCCATCGGACAGAGACGGTCACCGCATCGCGCGCCTTCAGACGGGCTGCTGCGGCCGTCTGGAACGCTCTTCCTTTCCGATATCAGGAATCCACTGGGAGCTGTGATGCACTTTTAAATCATCCAGATTGAAGAGTAATTTCTTCGGAACTGACGTTTGTGCTTAGTTTGTTGTCCTTCCCCCACACCTCCGATTATCGCGGTTGGCTACGTACGGCCTCGAAAGAAGTTCAACGTACGTACGTACGCACATGCAACAAACGCCTGACCTTCGGAGGGACGCGGCGCGTATCACAGGAAACGAACGAGCGACCACACAGCGGAAACTCGCCACGCTCGGTGTCTCCCCAGGTCCCGGCCTGGCGTTCATCGCCTACCCGCGGGCTGTCTCCATGATGCCCCTCGCCCCGCTCTGGGCGTCGCTCTTCTTCCTCATGCTCATATTCCTGGGTCTCGACAGCCAGGTGGGTAAGCGGCGAGCCGGCCCCCCGCCGTCAGGTGAGCTAGGGTGTCGCCGTTGGGCACGATGGCTCCCCGTCGCGCGTTTCGCTGTCGCGCGCGTCGGATGATGTCCTCGAAACGGGGTGGGGGAGGGGGGTCGGTCTGTCTGTCTCGAGGTGAATATTCGTCCGGGTGGAATTATTCGAATGAGCAAACATAAACAGGAATAGGAGAAATGTTGCCGCCGACATCACCGCCCCGCCGCTCGTCACGCCGTGCACCACGGAGAGACGTCACACGCGCCCGGTTGTCCCTCGCTCGATCCTCCCTGCCCCTATTGTCCCCATACCCCCTTCTCTCCTGCACCCCACCCAACCCCCCCATACCTCTACCCCTCTATCCCCGTGCCCCCTTCTCTCCTGCGCCCCACCCAATCCACCCCATACCTCTACCCCTCTATCCCCGTGCCCCCTTCTCTCCTGCACCCCACCCAACCCCCCCATACCTCTACCCCTCTATCCCCGTGCCCCCTTCTCTCCTGCGCCCCACCCAATCCACCCCATACCTCTACCCCTCTATCCCCGTGCCCCCTTCTCTCTTGCACCCCACCCAACCCCCCCATACCTCTACCCCTCTATCCCCGTGCCCCCTTCTCTCCTGCACCCCACCCAACCCCCCCATAACTCTACCCCTCTATCCCCTTGCCCTCTTCTCTCCTGCACCCCACCCAACCCCCCCATACCTCTACCCCTCTATCCCCGTGCCCCCTTCTCTCCTGCACCCCACCCAACCCCCCCCATACCTCTACCCCTCTATCCCCGTGCCCCCTTCTCTCCTGCACCCCACCCAACCCCCCCATACCTCTACCCCTCTATCCCCGTGCCTCACCCTGTCCCCTCTAACCCCCCCTGCTCCCTGCTCCCCCCCCCCCCCCCGTGTCTCACCCTGTCACCCTGTTCCCGTGTCCCCCCCGTGCCCCCTCCAACTCCACGTCTCACCCCCCCTACCGTGTCCACGTGTCTCCTCTACATCCGTGTGTTCCCCCCCCCCCCCCCCAGTTCGTGTGCGTGGAGAGCCTGGTGACAGCCATGGTGGACATGTACCCCAAGACGTTCCGCTTCGGCCGCAGACGTGAGCTGCTCATCCTGTGCGTGTCCATCATCTCCTTCTTCCTCGGCCTCATCATGCTCACGGAGGTACGCACGCACAAGCCAGACAAAGGTCCCCCGCACAGCCTCAACATTCTGTTAAAGGATATACGGTTGGATCTTTAGAGTGTGTTTATTCTCCCCCTGTTCTGTATGGGTTACCTCTCGGTTCGCCGGTTTCCTCTCATGGAACAAACCCACAACCACAGTGGAACTGGTATTGGCCAAACGTCTCAATGCTGATAAAGTGCCCGCAAATCACTCAATTGGCTTCACACAGCAACAACGGCATGGCTCCCCCGACTGCGAAAATCTTGGCAGGACCGTCCTGAAAACGGGTCTGGAGACTCGGTGAGTGCGTGAACAAGGTTAATAATGTTAATAATAAAAAGTAATGTACGTGTGACTGTAGGAGCACTTGTCCCGACAGTCTTTTAAGGCTTTACGGGGGATCTTTGTCTTTGTGTGTACACACATCTCTACGTCTATGTGTGTACACGTGTGTTGATGTTTATGTTGTTGATTTGAAGCTTTCGTGACTGCAGGAATCCATACTCTTTGGTTCTTTCGGTGAAGTCACGTGGGTAGAAAAATAAAATAAATCACGACGTTTCGAACGCAACACAGGCGTCCGTCTTCAGGTGAACATCGCGACAGCTGCGATGTCTGTTCCCGTGTGCACGATGTCCACTCCCGTGTGCACGATGTCCACTCCCCGTGTGCACGATGTCTACTCCCGTGTGCACGATGTCCACTCCCGTGTGCACGATGTCCACTCCCGTGTGCACGATGTCTACTCCCGTGTGCACGATGTCTGTTCCCGTGTGCACGATGTCCACTCCCGTGTGCACGATGTCCGCTCCCGTGTGCACGATGTCTGTTCCCGTGTGCACGATGTCTGTTCCCGTGTGCACGATGTCCACTCCCGTGTGCACGATGTCCACTCCCGTGTGCACGATGTCTGCTCCCGTGTGCACGATGTCTGCTCCCGTGTGTACGATGTCCACTCCCGTGTGCACGATGTCTGCTCCCGTGTGCACGATGTCTGCTCCCGTGTGCACGATGTCCACTCCCGTGTGCACGATTTCCACTCCCGTGTGCACGATGTCGACTCCCGTGTGCACGATGTCTACTCCCGTGTGCACGATGTCTGCTCCCGTGTGCACGATGTCCACTCCCGTGTGCACGATGTCTGTTCCCGTGTGCACGATGTCTGCTCCCATGTGCACGATGTCCACTCCCGTGTGCACGATGTCCGCTCCCGTGTGCACGATGTCTACTCCCGTGTGCACGATGTCCGCTCCCGTGTGCACGATGTCTGCTCCCGTGTGCACGATGTCCACTCCCGTGTGCACGATGTCTGTTCCCGTGTGCACGATGTCTGCTCCCATGTGCACGATGTCCACTCCCGTGTGCACGATGTCCGCTCCCGTGTGCACGATGTCTACTCCCGTGTGCACGATGTCCGCTCCCGTGTGCACGATGTCTACTCCCGTGTGCACGATGTCCGCTCCCGTGTGCACGATGTCCGCTCCCGTGTGCACGATGTGTACTCCCGTGTGCACGATGTCCGCTCCCGTGTGCACGATGTCTACTCCCGTGTGCACGATGTCTGTTCCCGTGTGCACGATGTCCGCAAGGGAGCGGCTGTCGCGATGTTCACCTGAAGACGGACGCTCGCGTTGCGTTCGAAACGTCGTGATTGATTTTATTTCTACCCACGTGACTTCACCGAAAGAACCAAAGAGTATGTTTATGTTGTTGTTGTTGATGCTGTTGATGGCGGTGATGTTGATGTTGATGACGTTGATGGTGATGTTGATGGTTACGGTGACGTATGTAAGTATGTTGAACATCTCTTCGCATCGTGCATGGTCAACCATGCTAATCGGAGGTGTGGGGGAAGGACAACGTTTATATGTTGTTAATGTTGATGACGTTGATGGTTATGGTGACGTTGATGTTGTTGATGACGTTGATGGTGTTGATGACGTTGACGTTGGTGACGTTGCAGGGAGGAATGTACATCTTCCAGCTGTTCGACTACTACGCGGCCAGTGGCATGTGTCTTCTCTTTGTTGCTGTTTTTGAGTCCATCTGCATCGGATGGATATATGGTGAAGGCACTCACCCGCTCACTCACCCGCTCACTCACCCACTCACTCACCCGCTCACTCACCCGCTCACTCACCCGCTCACTCACCCGCTCACTCACCCGCTCACTCACCGGCTCACTCACCGGCTCACTCACCCGCTCACTCACCCGCTCACTCACCCGCTCACTCACCCGCTCACTCTCCCGCTCACTCACCCGCTCACTCACCCGCTCACTCACCCGCTCACTCACCCGCTCACTCACCCGCTCACTCACCCGCTCACTCTCCCGCTCACTCACCCGCTCACTCACCCGCTCACTCATCCACTCACCTCAATCATTCAGCCACTAACTCACTCACCCACTCACTCACTCACCCGCTCACTCACTCAATCACTCACTTACTCACTCACCCACTCACTCACCCGCTCACTCTCCCGCTCACTCACCCGCTCACTCACCCGCTCACTCATCCACTCACCTCAATCATTCAGCCACTAACTCACTCACCCACTCACTCACTCACCCGCTCACTCACTCAATCACTCACTTACTCACTCACCCACTCACTCACCCGCTCACTCACCCGCTCACTCACCCGCTCACACATCCACTCACCTCAATCAATCAGCCACTCACTCACCCGCTCACTCACTCACACACTCACTCACTCACCCGCTCACTCACTCAACCACTCACTCACCCACTCACTCACTCACCCACTCACTCACTCAACCACTCACTCACTCACTCACCCACTCACTCACTCACCCACTCACTCACTCACCCACTCACTCACTCACTCACCCACTCACCTCAATCATTCAGCCACTCACCCACTCACTCACTCACCCACTCACCCACTCACCCACTCACTCACCCACTCACTCACTCAACCACTCACTCGTGAATTATCCTACCCACCCACAGGGGAGAGAGGGGAGGGGTCAGAGCCCAGCACTGCTCCCTGCTGCAGTCCCCCCCCCTCCCCCCTTGGCTTTGACCCCAAATCCCACCAGCCACCAATCACCCCCCCCCCCCAAATCCCCACCAGCCACCAATCACCCCCCCCCAATCCCCACCAGGCACCAATCTCACCCCCCCCCAATCCCCACCAGGCGCCAATTCCCCCCACCTCCCATCCCTCTCTGCTACCTGATTCACAATGTGATTCACAATGTGTGTGCCTGATTCACAATGTGATTCACAATGTGTGTGCCTGATTCAAAATGTGATTCACAATGTGTGTGCCTGGTTCACAATGTGTGTGCCTGGTTCACAATGTGTGTGCGTGATTCACAATGTGTGTGCCTGATTCACAATGTGTGCCTGGTTCACAATGTGTGTGCGTGATTCACAATGTGTGTGCCTGATTCACAATGTGTGTGCCTGATTCACAATGTGTGTGCCTGATTCACAATGTGTGTGCCTGATTCACAATGTGTGTGCCTGATTCACAATGTGTGTGCCTGGTTCACAATGTGTGTGCCTGGTTCACAATGTGTGTGTGATTCACAATGTGTGCCTGATTCACAATGTGTGTGCCTGGTTCACAATGTGTGTGCGTGATTCACAATGTGTGTGCCTGGTTCACAATGTGTGTGCGTGATTCACAATGTGTGTGCGTGATTCACAATGTGTGTGCCTGGTTCACAACGTGTGTGCCTGGTCACAACGTGTGCCTGGTTCACAATGTGTGTGCCTGGTTCACAATGTGTGTGCGTGATTCACAATGTGTGTGCCTGGTTCACAATGTGTGCCTGATTCACAATGTGTGCCTGGTTCACAATGTGTGTGTGTGATTCACAATGTGTGCCTGATTCACAATGTGTGTGCGTGATTCACAATGTGTGTGCCTGATTCACAATGTGTGCCTGGTTCACAACGTGTGCCTGGTTCACAATGTGTGTGCCTGGTTCACAATGTGTGTGTGTGATTCACAATGTGTGTGTGATTCACAATGTGTGTGCCTCATTCACAATGTGTGCCTGGTTCACAATGTGTGCCTGGTTCACAATGTGTGTGCATGATTCACAATGTGTGTGCGTGATTCACAATGTGTGTGTGATTCACAATGTGTGCGTGATTCACAATGTGTGTGCGTGATTCACAATGTGTGTCTGGTTCACAATGTGTGTGCGTGATTCACAATGTGTGTGCGTGATTCACAATGTGTGTGCGTGATTCACAATGTGTGTGTGATTCACAATGTGTGTGTGATTCACAATGTGTGCGTGATTCACAATGTGTGTGTGATTCACAATGTGTGCGTGATTCACAATGTGTGTGGGTGGTTCACAATGTGTGTCCCTGGTTCACAACGTGTGTGCGTGATTCACAATGTGTGCCTGGTTCACAATGTGTGTGCCTGGTTCACAGTGTGTGTGTGATTCACAATGTGTGCGTGATTCACAATGTGTGTGTGATTCACAATGTGTGTGCGTGATTCACAATGTGTGTGTGATTCACAATGTGTGTGCGTGATTCACAATGTGTGTGTGATTCACAATGTGTGTGCGTGATTCACAATGTGTGTGCGTGATTCACAACATGTGTGTGATTCACAATGTGTGTGGCTGGTTCACAATGTGTGCGTGATTCACAATGTGTGTGCGTGATTCACAATGTGTGTGCGTGATTCACAATGTGTGCCTGATTCACAATGTGTGTGCCTAGTTCACAACGTGTGTGCGTGATTCACAATGTGTGCCTGGTTCACAATGTGTGTGTGATTCACAATGTGTGTGTGTGATTCACAATGTGTGTGCCTGATTCACAATGTGTGTGTGTGATTCACAATGTGTGCCTGGTTCACAATGTGTGCGTGATTCACAATGTGTGTGCGTGATTCACAATGTGTGCGTGATTCACAATGTGTGCCTGATTCACAATGTGTGTGCCTAGTTCACAACGTGTGTGCGTGATTCACAATGTGCGCCTGGTTCACAATGTGTGTGTGATTCACAATGTGTGTGATTCACAATGTGTGTGCCTGGTTCACAATGTGTGCGTGATTAACAATGTGTGTGCCTGATTCACAATGTGTGCGTGATTCACAATGTGTGCGTGATTCACAATGTGTGTGTGTGATTCACAATGTGTGTGCCTGATTCACAATGTGTGTGCCTGATTCACAATGTATGTGCCTGGTTCACAATGTGTGCGTGATTCACAATGTGTGCCTGGTTCACAATGTGTGTGTGTGATTCACAATGTGTGTGCGTGATTCACAATGTGTGCCTGGTTCACAATGTGTGTGCGTGATTCACAATGTGTGCGTGATTCACAATGTGTGTGCGTGATTCACAATGTGTGCCTGGTTCACAATGTGTGCGTGATTCACAATGTGTGTGCCTGGTTCACAATGTGTGTGCGTGATTCACAATGTGTGCGTGATTCACAATGTGTGTGCCTGGTTCATAATGTGTGTGCCTGGTTCATAATGTGTGTGCCTGATTCACAATGTGTGTGTGATTCACAATGTGTGCGTGATTCACAATGTGATTCACAATGTGTGCGTGATTATTGAATGGGGAGGGAGGCTGGGGGGGAGTTGGGGGGGGGGAGCAATGTCTTAGGGGACTCCTTTTTTGTGATGGTCAGCGATATGTCGTGGGGGGCGGGGGGGAGTCCCCCTAGGATCGTTCTTTCTCGCAGCGTAAGCAGCTTTAAGAGCAGCAGCAGTGGCAACGAAAGAATCAGAAGCCAATCATACGAATGGCACTAATTACAGCTCACATGTCGCCTTGCATCGAATCTTACAGCGCTTCACATCGATGACAATTCAGTGGCTGCGTTAGGACGTGGCTAAGTTAAGAAGTGGCAAAGTTAAGAAGTGGCAAAGTTAAGAAGTGACTATGCTATGAAGTGGCTAAGTTATTACGTGGCTAAGTTATTACGTGGCTAAGTTAAGAAGTGACCGAGTTAAGAAGTGGTTATGTCAAGAAGTGGCTAAGTTAAATGTGAGTGATATGTGTGTGCTGTGTCTGTGTGCTGTGTCTGTGTGCGCTGTGTCTGTGTACTATGTGTGTCATCTGTATGTGTGTGTTGTGTATGCTGTGCCTGTGTGCTCTGTCTGTGTGCTGTGTCTGTCTGTGCTGTGTCTGTGTGTGTGCTGTGTCGGTGTGCGCTGTGTCTGTGTCCTATGTGTGTCATCTGTCTGTGTGCGTTGTGTGTGCTGTGTGTGTGTGCTGTGTCTGTGTGTGTGCTGTGTCTGTCTGTGTACTATGTGTGTCATCTGTATGTGTGTGTTGTGTGTGCTGTGTCTGTGTGCTGTGTCTGTGTGTGTGCTGTGTCTGTGTGCGCTGTGTCTGTGTACTATGTGTGTCATCTGTCTGTGTGTGTTGTGTGTGCTGTGTCTGTGTGCTGTGTCTGTGTGTGTGCTGTGTCTGTGTGTGTGCTGTGTCGGTGTGCGCTGTGTCTGTGTACTATGTGTGTCATCTGTATGTGTGTGTGTTGTGTGTGCTCTGTCTGTGTGCTGTGTCTGTGTGTGTGCTGTGTCTGTGTGTGTGCTGTGTCGGTGTGCGCTGTGTCTGTGTACTATGTGTGTCATCTGTCTGTGTGTGTTGTGTGTGCTGTGTCTGTGTGCTGTGTCTGTGTGTGTGCTGTGTCTGTCTGTGTGTGTGCTGTGTCTGTGTGTGTGCTGTGTGTGTGCTGTGTCTGTGTGCTGTGTTTGTGTGTGTGCTGTGTCTGTGTGTGTGTGTGCTGTGTCTGTGTGGGTGCTGTGTGTGTGCTGTGTCTGTGTGTGTGCTGTGTGTGTGTGTGTGCTGTGTCTGTGTGTGTGTGCTGTGTGTGTGCTGTGTCTGTATGTGTGTGCTGTGTCTGTGTGTGTGCTGTGTGTGTGCTGTGTCTGTGTGTGTGCTGTGTGTGTGCTGTGTATGTGTGTGCTGTGTGTGTGCTGTGTCTGTGTGTGTGCTGTGTCTGTGTGTGTGCTGAATAGAGAATAGTGGAGAGAAGTGATCGCTCACTTGCTCCTTCAGGCTGTTCAAGGCTCAACAGGGGGAATCTTTGCGTGCGTGTGGTGCGGTGTGCAAACATCAACACTGGGGAGACAAAGGCGGTCGGGCGTCGTTCTGGTCACCCACCCCGCTCGTTTGCCGTGCCGGCCTTCGTAGGGCGCAACTTTGTAACAGCACTTGCCCCGGCAACATCCGTGGGCTACAGGGGCTACCTTTGTCTTTGTGTGTGAGCGCAGGAGGGGACAGATTCTACGACAACATCGAGGACATGATCGGATACCGGCCGTTCCCTCTCATTAAGTGGTGCTGGATGTTCGTGACCCCTGGCATCTGCGCGGTGAGGTTGAGGGCCAGGGGTAAACGTCGCGGTGATGGCCCCGGTGATTGATGTGTGAAGGCGTGCTGATGGCGTTGGCAGAGTGGCGATTTATTGGTGTCTGTGTGTATGTATGTATGTATGCTGAACTTCTTTCGCACTGTACGTAGCCAACCGTACTCATCTAAGGTTGCGGGGGAAGGACAACAAACTAAACACAGAAAGGAGTTCTAAAGAATTTTGGACAGAAGTTTGATGGTGTGGTGATGGTCCAGTGATGGATTGGTGAAGGTGTGGTGATGGCACAGCAGAGTGTGGTGATGGTGTTGGCTATCATGAGGCTTAACTCAAATTCCTCACAGATGTACGTATGCTGAACGTCTTTCGTAAAGCCGTGCGAATCGGAGTTGCGTACTCATGCAGAGGTTCACGGTTTCGAATCTCGCGGCCGCCCTGGTAACTACTGCAGCGGCGGCGGAAGTGGCGGCGGTGTCAGCGGTGGTGCGCATTAACCGTGCAGATACTACGCACCGTCCAATTAACAGCGGACACTAAATTGAGTGGTTAGATGGTGGTGGTGATGGGGTTATTGGTTGGGTAGATGGTAGTGGTGGTGGTGATGGTGGTGGCGGAGTTATTGGTTAGGTAGATGGTAGTGGTGGCGGTGATGGTGGTGGTGGGGTTATTGGGTGCGTAGATGGTTGTGATGATAGTGATGATGGGGGTATTGGACGGGTAGATGATGGTGGTGGTCGTAGGGGTATTGGCTGGGTCATGTAGCCCGCATGCCCAGCCACCGCATGCCGAAACAGCTTTTGTTCGGCCGGATAGAGGGGGCTGAACGGGGGCGACATGGGCTAGAGAAGAGATGGAGTGATGTGGTACAGGAGGACGTGGAGCTGAGTGGACTTGCCGATGACTGGTATCAGCGGTAGATCGGCCTCTGTGGAGGATGCTACTGGGCAGTTGGAGGCAGTCGCCCTCCAACAACAACGGAGAGCGGAGGAGCAACGCTCACAACAACGAGCGAAGCGCCGGATGGATAAAGCACAGCGAGTTGACAGAGTAGGGGGCGCAGGTGGTGCATCAGCCAGTCATCTCAGTCAGTCGACCCGTGGCACCTGGGTCTGCCCTCCTGCCAGCGGACGTTCGACACTTCACGTGGCCTCAACGTGCACATAGCCTGGCACAAGCACCGTGGTGATGTCACCGCCACTTAGTAGCGAATGGCGGTTGTTGTTGTTGGTGGTAATGATGGTTGGGGGAGCGGTAGTGTAGCGGTTAGTGCGCTGCGCTACGAACCCGGCGACCCGAGTTTGATTCCCTCTCACAGCCAACACCAGTGACGATTATCTGAACCGGTCCTGGGCCTCCCCGAGGTCGACTCAGCCTCAAATGAGTACCTGGTCCGCTGTATATAAACATCGCCACTGGGGAGACAAAGGCGGTCGGGCGTGGTATTGGCCACCCACCCCCTCGTGTACCGTGTCGACCTTCATAGGTGCTCGCTTACAGGAATTGGCCCATACGGGGGATCTTTGTTTTTGTTCGATGGCAGTGGTGGTATTGGGTGGATAGAGTGTGGTCGTGATGGCGGTGATGGCAGTGGCGGGAGCAGTGGTGTCACGGTTAGCGCATTGCGCTAGGAACCCGGGTTCGATTCCCGCTCACGGTCAACACCGCTGGCAATTATCTGAATCGATCCAGGGCCTCCCCTAGGTCGACTCAGCCTCAAATGAGTGTCTGGTGCGGTGTGTAAACATCGCCACGAAGGAGACAGAGACCACCGGACATGGTGCTGTCCACTCACCCCGTCGTGTGCTGTGTCAGCTTTCATCGGACTTGCCCCAATATCCTGTTAAGGCTACACGGGGGATCTTTGTCTTTGTGCGTGTGTTTGAGCGTGCAAGTGTTGGGGGAGTGGTAGCCCAGCAGTTAGTGTGCAGCAGTCAGTACGCAGCGCCACGAACACGTTGACCCGCGATGGATTCCCCCTTATGGGCAGCGCCAGTGGCGAATATCTGAACCAGTGTTATAACCTCACCTAGGTCGACTCAGCCATAAATGAGCACCTGGTGCGGTGCGAAAGAAAATCAGCAGTGGGGGAGACAAAGGCAGGCCGACGGTGCCCCGTCCGCACCACGCCCTCGTGCGCCGTGCCCGTTTTAATTTTGGTGATTTAATTTGTGTTCACAGATGCTCAGTCGGGGCTGGTAACTGCATCCCGTGCTTTCAGACGCGCTTCTGCGGCCGTCTGGAATGCTCTTCCTTCTGATATTAGGAAGCCACCGGAGCTACGCATTTTCTAAAATCTAGATTGAAAGCTCATTGCTTTACAACTGTTGTTGGCCTTCCCCTGCACCTCCGATTAACGCTGTTGGCTACGTACGGTGCGAAAGAAGTTCAACAAATGTACATACGAATAAATCGTTTGGTGATACCTCCTTGGCCTATCTGTGTCCTGAGCAAGGGCCATTGCCCGAAAGGTCACCTATTAGCTAGCTACACTTGCCCCGACAGTCTGTCAAGGGCTATACGGGGGATCTTTGTCTGTGTATGGCGGTACACGCATCGTCATGCGATTGGCACGTATGTTTCATTTCGCGCAACCGCGGTCGCCCTCGCGAACGGGACGGCTTATCCCGACTAAATATTGGAATAATAATAATAACAACTAAATAATAATGACCTACCCCTCCCTCCCGCCCTCCCGGTATCGGCCGTATCTCCCACAGAGCATCTTCCTCTTCTCTCTCATCAAGTACCAACCACTGACGTACAACAAGACCTACACCTACCCTGACTGGGGCTACGGCATCGGCTGGATGCTGGCGCTGTCCTCCATGATCTGCATCCCAATCGGCGGAGGATACAAGCTGCTCACCACCACAGGCACCTTCAGGGAGGTAGATGAGCCCACAACCCCCCCCCCCTCCCCCCTCCACCACCACCCCGGCAACCGGGCAGCGGTCGCCGTGGCGACCGGGCAGCGGTTGCCGTGGCAACCGAGCCGCCCCTGGCAACGGGAGGACGGCGCTGGGACGGTCGGCGGAAGGGAGAGCGAGCCGAGCGTGGGGGTGGTGGGGGGGCACGATGGGGAGGGGGGGGGCACGGGGGGGGCAGGGGGGGGCGGGGGTTGGTGGGCGACCGGTTGTCGAATGTCTTAGCCGTGTGGGTGCCTCCGAGATCGATCGCCCCGACGGTGCTGCGGACCGCTCCGTGCAGACGCTCCTCGGTGCGGCCGCTCTGCTGCTGCTGCTGCGTGGAGGCAGCCCGAGCCAGCGATGTGGACACGGGAGGGATGAGGCGGTGCAGTCAGCCCGTGCTCTCCCCCCCCCCTCTGCTTCTCTGGCTATGACTGCCCTGCCTCTCTCTCTCTCTCTCCCATAGACTCACGGGGAGACCCATAGACCAATTTACGTGGAATGTAGCACGGTGGTAGCGCTCGAGAGGGGCACGCTCTCCGCACGTGCTGAGTCACCGCACGTGTGGAGTCACCGCACGTGTGGAGTTACTGCACGTGTGGTGTTACTGCACGTGTGGTGTTACTGCACGTGTGGTGTTACTGCACGTGTGGTGTTACTGCACGTGTGGTGTTACTGCACGTGTGGTGTTACTGCACGTGTGGTGTTACTGCACGTGTGGAGTTACCACACGTGCGGTGACTCCACACGTGTGGAGTTACCACACGTGTGGTGTCACCGCACGAGGCAGACGACGCGATCGTGGCGTCTTCGATTCGCGAACCGAGGCGGATCGCCGCATCGTCGCCCCGGTGACGTGTCGATACCGGTGACGTGTCGATACCGGTGACGTGTCGATACCGAAATCAGTGCGCGAGTCGCCGACACGTGACGCTCGCGTTGCGACGTGAACGCGTTGCGACGTGAACGCGCGTTGCCTCTGTGTCGCATACGTTCGATACACGCACTCGCAACCCACGCACTCCAATCATCACGCGCGTTTTATCTGCTCACTACTCACTCACTACGCATTCGCTCACTACTCACTCACTGCAATCATCACACTCACTTATACGCTCACGACTCACTCACAGCGCAATCACTCACAACGCACTCACTCGTTAAGCGCTTAATACAACCATCACGCTCTTTACAATCATCACACTCATTGCACAAAATCATCACACTCACTCATCGCCACCACTATCACAGTCGCCCGTTGTGATGCCCCCCCCCCCCCCCCCCCCATAGAAGCTGGTGACCCGACCTCTCTCCTCATACTCCACGTCCACCATCACTATCGCCCCCACCATCACCCCCATCATCATCATCATCAACCCATTCAAAACCACTACCACTACCACAATCATCATCATCTTCATATCCAATACTACCACCAGCACTACCCTCTACCCACCCAATTCCACCGCCACCACCATAATCTAATCGGCCAATACCACCACTGCCACCACCCCCACCCCACTCACTAACCCCGTCCAGGCGCCCCCCACTAAACCGCTCCTCGCGTGCGCCCACAGCGGCTGCAGAAGCTGGTGACCCCCAGCCCGGACCTGCCGGTGCCGGGCGCCTCCAGGGCCGGCGCCGTGCAGGTGCAGCTGAGCCGCTCGGCCAGCGACTGCGACGCCAACGGGCGGTGCAACGGGGAGGACGGCGCCGCGGCCGCCCCCGCCGCCAACGCCGGCGCCGCCGTGGCCGCGGCCGCGGCCGTCGGCGGCGGCGGCGCCTGCGCCGACACGGAGAGCCCGCTGTGAGCGTCGGGGGCCCCGGCGGGGTCCAGGGTGGCGGGGTCCAGGGTGGCGGGGCCCGACTCCGGTCCCCCCGGGGTCAGCGGCTGGAATGGCGCAAGTTCTGTTTTAAATCTGGGGGCGGCTGGCCCCTAGACGTAGCCCCTAGTGATAGTCCTAGCTCCTAGGTGTAAGCCCCGAGCAGGCTGCCTCCAGCCTGAACCCCTGTAACCTCTGTCCGTGACTCCCTCGCCTCTCTTAGCCCCCCCTGAACTGTAGCCCCCCCCCCCCTCCCACCCAACCACGTCCCTGCATCCCCACCTTGGTGATTGTTTGGCACGGTGAGCAGTCGACCCCCCCCCCCCCCTCCCCCGGCCCACCGCCCGTCCCAAGCTGTATTTGTGTGCTCGTGTTTTGTCCTTCACCGTTTAAAAGATTGGAGGCAGCGGCGGGAAGTCGCTGGGGTTTCAAAAGCGACGCGCGGGGGCAAGGCGGGGGGGGGCAAGGCGGGGGGGTGGCAAAGCGGGGGGGGGCAAGGCGGGGGGGGGCAAGGCGGGGGGGGCCAGGCGGGGGGGGGGGGGGGCAAGGCGGGCCGCTCCGTGCTCCCGGCGCTGTGCACTCTCTTTCTCTCTCTCCGGCTGAGAGTTGGTTCGCGCGTTCGCCGGCTCCTCCGTCCGTCCGTCCGTAACGACAGGGCGGCGGGGTTGGGTTGGGTTTGGGGGGTGCCCTCACCCTGGAGGAAGCCGGGGTCGCATTGTGCGATGCGTTATTGCCCCAACACGCACGCGCGCACACTTGGGAGAGGCACGAAAGAAAAGAGCGAGGGATAAGAGGATAATTTGCTAATGTTCAGGTGCGCTTCGCCCTCCCGGTGAACCACAGGCTTCCGATTCAATTAGCCGGGCGGTGACGGTGGCCACGTCGCTGCACGTGGCCACCTCGAGCGACCCAGCGGTGTGAGGAGGCAGCAGCAGCAGCCGGGGTTGGGGGGAATCGCCGCACATACACACATACACACCTACACACACATACACACATACACATACAGACAAACACACATACACATACAGACATACACACATACACACACACATACACACACATACACACACACATACACATACAGACATACACACACAGACATACACACAGACATACACACAGACATACACACACACATACACACATACACACATACAGACATACAGACATACACACATACACACAGACATACACACACACACACATACAGACATACACACATACACACACAGACATACACACATACACACACACAGACATACACACACACAGACATACACACATACACACAGACGGACATACACATATACACACCTACACACATACACACACACACATACACAAACACAGACATACAGACATACACACACAGACATACACACATACACACACAGACATACACACACACAGACATACACACATACACACACACAGACATACACACACATACACACACACATACACACACAGACATACACACATACACACACACATACACACATACACACACACATACACACATACACACAGACATACACACACACAGACGTTGTTGCGAAACTCCACTTTACCGTGGTCGTCTAGGAGGCTGCTGCATCATGGCTCGCCAGGAGAAGGCGGTACAGGACAGTATGCCTGTTTCATCTGTGTGGAATAGAGCGTTGCTCCCTCGCACGCGTGGATTTACCTGCGGGTGCTCCGGTTTCCCCCCACGTGTGTAATAAACAACTGGTAAATTGGCCGATGACACCTTCGTATGCGAAGGCCCGGCAGAGCTTCGCCAATTGTTGGCAGCGCAGCCCCCTCCCGCGTGGCTGCTAAACTACTCTTCTAAACGTTTTTATTTTACCAGGTAAGGCTCAAGTAAGCTCTATAGCTGTCACAAAAATAATAAGCTCAACGAAATGGCTCATCATCATCATCGCGTGGAAATTTATCGCAGCCAAATAATCTAAAGGCGTGATGTTGTTGAATATAAACGTGGAGTGAAAAACCGGAGGACCCGGAGAAAAATCCACGCGACCACGGAGAGAGAGAGAGACACACACAAACTCCAAATATACAGCAGCAGGCGTCACGATTGGGATTGAACCCACGACCTCCTGTATACCAGGCGAGGTAGTTAACATCTCCTAGCCACCGTGGTTACTGCTGCTGCAGCCTCCCCGCTCCTCGTCTGTGGTTCTTCCTCCTGGCGCATCTAAGTCCCCCCCCCTCCCTCTCTCTCTACGAGAGCGAAGAGCGAACACCATGCGGTGGTGGTGGTGGTGACGAAGCGTTACAAGTGGAGATGATCAATCACATTAACGCTCGAGTAAGGCAAACACACGTTTGGAAAGCATATAAACAGTCCATGGGTGCATGTGCAGGATCTCTCCGAAATTGTGTTTTAATTACAAAGAGGCTTATTCCAGTCAAACAACAACAACAACAGCAACAAAAAATACCGCTCGGTTTGGAAACCCCAGCGGTTTTAGCGATGGGACCCTCGCGCAAGACACCCTTGACGAACAGGGGGGGGGACCCCCTTAGCCCCTTGCATATCCCCTTGCTGATCGGTAACGAGAGCAGGGGGCTAACGGTGAGGTGGGACTTCACGGCGAGGCCAGGGTTAGCGGTGAGCCGAGTGGGGTCGGTGTAGGTGTAAATAGAGGTGTACATACGGGCACGTGCAAGTCGCACATACAGGTGAGCGTATGTGTACCTGTGCAGGTGTACGTGCAGCTCTGTGTACAGTTGCGTGTATTTATACCTGTGCAGGTGTGCATACGGGTGCACGCACAGGTCAGTGTATGTGTGCCTGTGCAGGTGTACGTATCGATTCTCGTATATGTGCACACACAGATCCCCATGTGTGTCGAAGTGTGTGCACAGGTGCCCTACAGGTGTACGATACACCTGCAAAGATGACCTACAGATGTACGATGCGCCTGTACAGGTGCCTTACAGGTGTACAATGCACCTGTGCGGGTGTCTTACAGGTGTGCGATGTACCTGTGCAGGTGTGTGCACGCCTGACCGTGAACACCTGTCGCCGCCATGCGCTATTCCTTCACCCCTTATCCGATGTCACCCTGACCCCCTCCTGCTTGTCCTGACCCTTACACCCTTCTCCCCTAGATCCCCTCCCCCCCAGTGTGGGGATATAAGACCCCTGTTTAGGGACCAAACGTAGAGAACACGACGGCTTGCGGTGTGGGTGGAAGGAGAGGGTGGGGAGGCTTAGTCGGGGGAGGGGGGGGGGCTGGGGGGGCTCGAGCCCCCCCCAAATTCCTCCCCCTCCTCTTCCCATTCGCTGGGTTTCCGATCGAATTCACGCGGAGAAAAAATACAAATGGAGCGCCCGGCTTCTTAAACTCAACTATTTTATTGTTCACCAGGTAAAGCCCAATGAGCCCCCCGTGAGCCGCCGTTCAGAGGCGACCTCGCCACGCGCGATGACGGCTCCTCATCGTCGTCATCAGTCCTCGAAGGGGCTGGTGTCGTCATCGCGCGGCACGGGAATAATTTATAGCGGCAGCCAAATAATCCGAGCGCACGTTGATTCTCAATGTGGACGGTTGGGGTTGGGAGCGGGGGGGGGGGGGCAACGCAGAACAATTCACGCGACCGGAGAGAGAGAGAGAGAGAACGCGGGGACTCCAAACACTTACACGGTACACGGGATAGAACCCAGGCGAGGGAGACAGCTTCTCCTCACTGCCGCAGCTGCCCCTTTGCGATTGTACGGATTGGAAACAGCGCGCTCGCACCCTGTGGACGCCTCCAAGAGTTACGATCGGCGTAGCCCCCTCCCTCCCTCGGTACGTTCGTTTTACCCACAGTTGAGACGCAAAGAAAAAAGTGGGATCCTAGTCCTCCTGGTCTCCACCAGCAATGCCCCCTGAGAAGAATTGAATTCTCAGCTTCCGCTCTCTGCATATCCAAGTGGGAGGGGAAGGGCGCGAAGGGGGGGGGGGTGGTGGGGGGGGCGGCGATCGTGGCAATAACCGCCAGCAGCCCCCCAGCCCACCCCCACCCAGAAAATTGGCGTTTTATTGATATTGACCAGCGACAATACATTTATCGTCCGTTCGGGTACGAGTAGTAGTATTATTATTATTGATATTAATGTGGGGCCCTGTTCATATCAAACATCTTGACATCTCGCGTCCGCCGGCCCGCCCTCGAGGGGCAGGGGTCCAGACGCTCGGCCTCGCGCCCGCGAGCGGCCGAGGGATGCCGCGAGAGGCGACGTTTCTTTTGGGCGCAGGTCGCGCGGTTCATTGCGGGTTTACGAGGTGACTACGGGTGTAACCCCGTCTCTGAAATCGGCGGCGCCGGTCCGCGCACGCGTGCATGCCAGCGAGCGAGAGAGAGATCCGATCGGAGGCCCCGCGAGTGAGACCTTTCCCCGCGGCGTGTCCGTGCGCCGTTTTTTAAGTGATTGTTGTTATTCATGATTGTTTTTTTATATATGCATTATATATTGTAGTCGATGTCGAATAGCTCCTGTCGTAATATTGATGATGATGATGACGACGGCGATGTTGCGGTAGATGCGTTAGACTCCTGAACATTCCTAACTGAAAACATTCCCACCATGACGCCACTCGGTGTGACGCCAGGCGGTGTGATGTCACGTGGTGTGATGCCAGGCTGTGTGACGCCACTCGGTGTGACGCCGCTTGGTGTGACGCTGCTCGGTGCGATGCCACTCGGTGCGACGCCAGGCTGTGTGGTGTGACGCCACTCGGTGTGACGCCACTCGGTGTGACGCCACACGTTGTGATTCCACACGGTGTGACGCTGCTCGGTGTGACGCTGCTCGGTGCGATGCCACTCGGTGCGACGCCAGGCTGTGTGGTGTGACGCCGCTCGGTGCGACGCCGCTCGGTGTGACGCCATGTGGTGCGACGCCAGGCAACGTGATGCCACTCGGTGTGATGCCACACGGTGTGACGGCACACGGTGTGATTCCACACGGTGTGACGCCACATGGTGTGATGCCACACGGTGTGACGCCACTCGGTGCGACGTCACTCGGCGTGACGCCACTCGGTGTGATCCCACACGGTGTGACGCCACATGGTGTGACGCCACGTGGCGTGACGCGATGATGCCAGTGCTTTTTGTGAACCCAACGGGAGCCGCTGCTCTGAAGGCCGGGACCACACTGTGGGCAATTTTAGAGCAACCGTTGCCATCCGTGATCTGATTGGACGCTGCCATCATCCCAGTTGTCCATCCCAGAGGGGGTGGTGGGAAGGGGGCAGGAACAGCAGCGGCGAACAGATTTTGTTCCACGTGTGGGCAACTATAATTGTTTGCCATAGAATCTGCAGCGGCAACTGTTGCAACCAACGACTGCCGCCGGCGATTGCCGTAAAATTGCCCCTAGTGTAGCGGCGGCCTTGAAAAGCCGGGCCGACGCCTCGAGCGATCAGTTGCGCCAACGCTTACGTCCGGACGTTTCTGCAACCGG